AAGGGTTGGGCTTGACTTGCCCGTCCCCCTATCATTGGAGCTTGTGGATGCTCGCCAAGGCATCAAGGCCAACTGTTTGGATCCAGAACAAGCACCTGGAATAGGAGACATGAATGCTTTATGATGTAAAATGATCCAAGTTGTGTGCCAAGTAGACTTGACACCAGCACCGCTTGCTTGTTCAAGTGACAGGCTTGTGAGGAAAGGGCCGATGCCCGCTTTGGCAAAACTGTAACAGAACAGCTTGGAATTCGTGAAGAAAGACGAAGCCAAACACACCGATAATTAGAACAGCTAACGAGCGCACGCCTACATCATATCAAAAGTACCGTTGGGCTCATTGGCCTCGTTTTCCAAGTTCACTAACAATGGCCAGGAACACACTTCCGACCATACCATTCTTCACTGCAAGCGTTTCCCTCTTCTGGAAATATGGCAACCACAGAAACAAGCACAGCTGGTTGCGCATGGTTTCACAAAGGGCGGTGCCAACCCTTCCAATCAATGAAGCAAAGGACTTTAACTCGCCTTGTCCACTGATCCGCAACAAGTGTTGGAGAGTATGGAGCCGTTGCTTTATCATGGTCGCTGAAAATGGACGTGGGGTTGACACATGTTGACACAATATATCATCAAACGCAAAAGAGACCTATGATAATCAGCTGGCGGCCATCCCACTGCTCCTTTTCAATGTGCCCCCTAACTCGAAGGAACGCCCGAAGCTCCGGCACAAAGCTGCTGTTCACAACACTGGCCACTTGGCCAGATTCAGCAGGCAAAGGGGGAGAAGCGCGGTGACTGTAGACCCGGTTGTTTAGTGGCAGGATCTGCACGTTCATACGTTCCTGCATTCCTGCGTTTGTGAGTCTGTGTGTGTGCATGTGCACGAGTTCGGCACAGTATGTGAGGGGTGCCAGTGTGCCAGTGTCATGTTTGACAGAGAGACTGTGTGTGTGTTTGTGTTGTGTCAGTGCGTGTTGGATTTAAGGTATTTAGCCCATGAGTCACTATTAAAGGCTGCTGGGTGATTCTGGATGGACAAACAGCTTGGATTGATCAATCAGCTCGGCGCAGACAGACTAACATTCAAGTTAAGTGGGTTGTCTCGTACTGGGAAAATCCCCAAAATGGGTTGTGGTTTTGCTGTCGCTTTCCTTCAAAGCAATCCCAAACAGGGTATCCTCAAAGACCGACTTGCCCCAATCTTACTGCTGAATTAGTTTGGGCAAAGCGGGCAAGACACCATGCAACCCGCGGCACACTGAGGAGGTGCTCGCCATGCAAGCGACCTTTGCAAGGGAGGAGCCACGGTGTGAGTCGCTCCAGGGCTTTTTGAATCGCCCACCGTGACCCCACACGGCCTTCCCAGTGCCATAATTCTTGCAGGTGACAAGGTGCAGAAATGCGAATCAGCTCATTCCCACGACATCCGCTAACCTTGGCCCCCTGCAAATAAGGGCCAGTTTGGGCACCCAGTTGTTTTTTCGGCGGCCTTCACGGACTTCAGCCAAACAAGAGCTCCAGCATCCGTCTTTGCCCCCCCCCCCAACTTTTTCTTCCTACCACCCCCCCCCCTCCCCCGGCTGAGGACTGCTGTCCCCCGAAAAGACTTATTTGGGTTCAGCTCTGGCGCCTTTCAACGGAAGGCGGATCCCGTCGGTTCGTTTCCCGATTTGATTCGGAGCACAATGGCGAGGAGCGGGACCTGTTGGAGTCCTTCCGGTCGCTGGATACTGAGGGCCTGGGGGAGGCCGAACGCCGAGGGATGTGTTTATGTGCCTAACTACGACCCCGGTGCACGAGTATAACTTATATAAAGGGAAAACGCACATTTTGGTTTGCTTCCATTAGCATCAACTTGTGTGGGCTTCTCGCGTCAAGCGTCCAGTCTTCAATATCTACGTCCTCAGCTCTGATTTAGGGCATCCACATTGGCTGGCACCAAGCTGAGGTGGGTGTGACCTCAAGAACAATAGGCGGATGTCCTTATTGCTTCTGGTGTCTCATGATTTCTTCGCAAGCCGCCTCTAGAGACTCTCTGCCTATACTGAAGGATGCACTGTGGAGCTCGCCAAAGTTAGGAATGTCTCCTTGACCTTGGTCGAGTCGGATTTTTGAATTTTGCCACAACTGCTTGCTTTCCAGCTTGATATCCCTCGAGCATTATCAACACCAACACCCATGAACTCAGATTGCAAGTAGCACTGTCCCTTCCGATCAAACACTCAGTTGTTCAAAGACGACCTTTTGACCTTTTGGTTTTCCCTTTTTAGTCTACTTTTAGTGGAGGTCCCAAAAGGTTAACCTTTTATTTCCAGGTCCTTTGGGCAAGTGAGAACACACAAACGACAAACAACAAGACAGCAAACAACACACACACAAAGCAACAATACATCAGCAACATACACAGCCAGGAAGCAAGGAAACAAACAAACAATAGTAAAACATAAATGCACACAAAACCATCACACCTAACCAAGCAAGCAAGCAAGCAAGCAAGCAAGCAAGCAAGCAAGCAAGCAAGCAACCAACCAACCAACCAACCAACCAACCAACCAACCAACCAACCAACCAACCAACAAACACACAAACAACACAACACAACACAACACAACACAACACAACACAACACAACACCAAAAACACACAAACAAAAATACACAACCGCACACAAACAAAAACACACAAACGCAAGCAAGCAAACCCACACACACACAACACAAAACTCACAATCACAAACATACAAGAACACACAAACAAACACAGACGCACAAAAAAACACGCACACACAAACAAACAATCAACCAATCAAACAAACATCGAAACAGACAGGCTGACAGACAGACAAACGAAAACAATCAGACATGCAAACACACAAGCAAACAACCAAACAAACAAGCAAACCAAGAAGCAACTAAACAATCAACACAAACAAACACACAAAAACAAACCAGCACCACAAGCAAAAGCAAGCAGGCAGGCAAGCACACAGACAGAGAGACAGACAAACAACAAGCAAGCAAACAAACACACAACACAACACAACCACAAACACACACACACAACCAAACAAACAGGCAAGCATAGAATCAAACAAGCAACCAAACAGACAAACAGACAAACAGATAGACAGACAGACCAACAACTAAGTAAGCAAACAAACAAATAAACAAACAACACACAAACATAAAAAAAATAAAAATAACACACAAGCAAGCAAACAGGCATGCAAGCAAGCACACAGACAGACAAACAATCAAGCAATAAAGCAAGCAAGCGAACAAACAAATAAACAAGCAACACAAACGCACACACAAACACACACAAACCAACACAAAAGCAAGCAAGTAGGCAGGCAAGCAATCACACCGACAGACAGACAATCTATCAATAAGCAAGCAAGCAGGCAGGCAAGCAATCACACGGACTGACAGAGAGAACCAAACAACAACCAAGCAAGCAAGCGAGCAAACAAGCAACACAACACAGACACACACACACAAACACAACCAAGCAAACAGGCAAAACACCAATCAAACAAGCAACCAAACAGACAGATCGAGAGACAGACAAACAAACAACAAAGAAAGCAATCAAACACAAACAAGCAAGCAACTTGACAGACAGACAAGCAAGCAAGCAAGCAAACAATCAAAAAAGCAAACACACACACACAATAACAAACAAACAAACAAGCAAACAGACAGACAGACAGACAGACAAACAAACGAGCAAGCAGACAACCAAATAAACAAACAGCGCGTACACAAACAAACAAGCAAGCAAGCAACCAAGCAAGCAGACAGACAGACAAAAAGCAAACAACACAGAGACAAACAAGCAAGCAAGCAAGCAAGGAAGCAAGGAATCAGACAGACAGACTGACAGACAATCAAGCAAGCAAGCAAACAGAGCAAACAAGCAGACACGCAACCAAACACACAAGCAAACAATCAAACAGTCGCTCGGAGCTATGTTGGCGCCAGGTGACGCTGGAGGAGCTCCAGCATGGGTTGCTGCAGGCGGTGCCTACCTGGACGGCTCGAGCCCCTCGCTTCCACATGGGACGACCCCCTTTCCCACTCTGTAGGTCCAGGTGTTGAATTTCAATGAAGAACCCCCTGGAACCTGACAGGTTGTTTTGATCTGAACCCCAAGTAAAACTCACAAGTCTCAGAGGAGGTAGGCAAACAAAAGATGTGGCAACCTTGTGCGAAGAGATTTCGGGCCCCTTTTGTTTGGCGCCAATGCTTGGGATGGCAAGGTCCGCCTTGAAACTTAGGAGAGAAGCAACCAAGAAGCAAGCAAGCCAGCAGATCCAGTGCCCCCGTCAATGAACAATCCTTCAATAGATGTTTATCCTTTGACCCCTGTTTCCGCCGACACCGCGTGGAAGCTTCCAAACCGGTGGCTCATCTTCCTTTGCTTTGACGACACATCAGACAACAGTGTCAACCGAGTTTGGAGCCGGACCCAACGAGTGCAACACTATGGCTTTGTTTAAAAAGAAGCTCGACGATCTGTAGTCGTGGTTGGCATATGGGTCTCATTAGTGATGCAAGCCAACCAACCCACCCACCCAACCTCAACCCAACCAACCATACTTACATATACCGTACCATGCCATGCCATGCCATGCCATGCCATGCCATGCCATGCCATGCCATGCAACCAACCAACCAACCAACCAACCAACCAACCAACCAACCAACCAACCAACCAACCAACCAACCAACCAACCAACCAACCAACCAACCAACCAACCAACCAACCAACCAACCAACCAACCAACCAACCAACCAACCAACCAACCAACCAACCAACCAACCAACCAACCAACCAACCAACCAACCAACCAACCAACCAACCAACCAACCAACCAACCAACCAACCAACCAACCAACCAACCAACCAACCAACCAACCAACCAACCAACCAACCAACCAACCAACCAACCAACCAACCAACCAACCAACCAACCAACCAACCAACCAACCAACCAACCAACCAACCAACCAACCAACCAACCAACCAACCAACCAACCAACCAACCAACCAACCAACCAACCAACCAACCAACCAACCAACCAACCAACCAACCAACCAACCAACCAACCAACCAACCAACCAACCAACCAACCAACCAACCAACCAACCAACCAACCAACCAACCAACCAACCAACCAACCAACCAACCAACCAACCAACCAACCAACCAACCAACCAACCAACCAACCAACCAACCAACCAACCAACCAACCCAACAACCAACCAGCCAACCAACCAAACAATAACACAAATATAATATACACACACACTAACCAACCAACCAACCAACCAACCAACAAACCAACCAGCCAACCAGTTACCCACAACCAACCACAACCAACCAAACAGCCACGCAAGCAAGCGACCAACTGTCCAGCCAACAGCTCAAACAGAGGCAGGGCGAGAATCACTATTCAGATGTGGGCTTGGCATTTTTTGCATTTATGTGTGTTTGTATTTGCTTGAGCTGGCCTCGTTCAGAAGTACTTCTCGCATTTTACTTCTGAAACAAAGCAATCCGCGTGTGCATAGTATGTGTGACCAATGATTGGAGAAGCTCAGGAATGTGCACGGCTGTGGACCCCTTAGCATTTTGGGGGCAACAACGATCCTTGCCTCTCCTCATCTTGCGACTTAGCTCGTACATCTTGCCCACAAGGGTCGAGCCGCACCTGCCCAGGAACTGAGCCAGGTCATCGCCTACGTCAGCAGGGCGCGGGGGGATTTCAGAGCGAGCGAGAGGGACAAGATGTCAGGGCTTCTTACAAAATCTATACGACACATTGCCCAACGCCTGTCAGCTTCACAGCTGCGCCAGAATGTATTTGTCCCGTGCGCTTTCAAGGCATGAAAGCAAGGAGGCTGAATTGTCGGTGACCACTTTGTTCACTGGTAGAGCAAGCACATGTTTGGGCGCCACCATGCTAGCTAGCAAAGCTTCACTTCATGCCGGAAAGTATATACATGTATATTGACATGCTCCCCGTAAGGCTGCCGTGGCAGCTGAATGTTCCCCCCCCCACACACGAGGCCCTCAGAGTCCTGATTGCTTGTTCCTTGGCCTTTGCGACCGGGCCACCAAGCGGCGGCATCAAAGAAATGGTCTCAGCGTCCATCCTGGCTTTCAGCCTTTCACCTCTGCAAATCCATCAGGGGTGTTTTTCTTGTTGTCAGGTGGACGTCTTTGTGCAGCCAAACGAACACCCGGTTCGGGCTGTTTGTGTCAGTTCAAAAAAACATATTTTGGGTTTGCTATCATTTTGATAAATATATTTCAATCCTACCCTCATTGGGTTCGTTGGGAAGGTGCTGTTGTTTGTGGCCCTTGCACACTTCTTCCCCAGGAGAAAAGGAACGCGCCCTGTTTTGCAGAGAAAGTTTAGACGTTTGCCTTTGCGACTTTCCCTTGTGTTACCTGGAACCATTACGATACTGTACCCGCCCTACCTCCACGCTTCTTTGATGGCCTTTGTCGGCCTTCCCCACACCCTTGCAGGGAACATGATTTCATGTTTGGTGACCTTCAAAAGTGGCCAGAGTCAAGCCCCACAAGTGTTTAAAGAACTCGGTCACTTCTTCCCACGTCACTGGTGTCAGCTTCGGCCAAACTTCCAAACCTGGAGGGATGCACAAGTTGCCATCAAACTCCACAACATGTATTTTCTTCAAAGTTCACAACATGATATTCCTCCAAATTGCTGCAGTCCATGCTTTTTGTTTTTCTTTTTTACCCCCCCCAAAAAAAATATATAATAAAAAAGAAGAAGAAGAAGACTTCAAACACGGAGTCCTCCAAATTCCATGGTTGCTCCTCGGATATCGTGTTGCGTTCGTACGGCGAGGGTGGCCAAGACCGGGTCATCACCTTCCGCCGCTTCGTGGCCTGCTGCCTGGACCTGGAGGAACCTGCGGTGGCAGAGCGCCTCCGCGCCTCGGGCCATGAGCTGAACCCGCTTGGAAGACTTATAACTTGGTGGCTCCCAGTCCCCTCAGCTTTCTAGCCTTTTAATGTTTAGTGGTAGTCTAGTTCAGCCTTTTAGTGTTTAGTGCGTGGCTGATACGGCGGCAAATGCTGCGCGTGAAATAGAAACCCCGCACGGGGCACTCGTACGGAAAAAACTTGCTGAAGAAAGTGCTTGGAGACCACGGATTTGGCGAAACATCTACACGGGAATTGCCTTAATTGCTACGTATGACTTTTCTAAGCCCAAGTAAAAATCCAGGTCCCGATGCACCAACTCCAGAGGAGGAAGAGCACCCAACCACGGCTCCAGCCAATTGGGAAGCGATCCCATGCTTGCCGCCAAACCCAGATTGGCCAGCTTGTTCAGTCTGGGGCGTCACTTTCAATCAAGCTGCCCTTCAGTGGGCCCAGCAACTCCGTTGGCGACCAAATTGAAATGAAGGCTTTGGAAGTTGGGCAGAGCAGTATATTTCCTTTTCTGTAACCATGGCCTTTCCTTTACCCCGCCCGTCACCTTGGGTAAAAGGGACTTTCCTTGCGGAAGGAATTCACTACACCCCAGTATTACACCAACGTTCCTTAGGGGATGAAATCAAAGCCTTCCAGCACGCCATGCAGACTCAAAGTAGCATCACTGCAGCAGGAATTTTCCATGGTCTCAAGGAGGCCGAAAGAACCTTGCGAACAAAATATGGGTTTAATCTTCAGGCAATGGGGATTCTCCATGCAGCTTGGATATGCTGAGGTTAAAACTTTGTTGCGCGACTACCTCAGCACATTCGGAAATGCTGCCAACTTGCCCAAGCCTTTGCAATTACCTTGGCGGAAAATGGACATACGGCCAGCAGATGGCATATACACATCTAGAGGATTGCTTTGCAATGCCAACAGGTGGCGGGTTGCACATGTGGGGATGTGCCGCAAGCCTCGTACCCCTGTTTCGTGTGGGTGCTAATGTTCTCAACTCTCGGCCTGCAATGTGAATAGCACTTGGGCAGAATTCAGAGGCCAAGCCGGCTTCTTGTTCGCCTGTCAATGGACAGGCTGGCAAGCTAACCGAGCACCATGGAGGTCACTAAAAGCTTTTAGCGGGGGATCTGAGGGCAGCCCAGACAACCATGGTAACTGGGTATACCCAAGCTTTCTAACCACTTCCTAAGTAGCCTGCCTCTTTAAGCGACCTTCTGGCGCACCCCAAATTTGTTTAGGGGCTCCCAAACACCGGTTGGTTCATTCCCAAAGACCCAATTCGATCCCCTCAAAGGCCGTTGCGTGGCGAAGGGCGCTCAGCTCTTGCGGTTTGATTGTAAATGTTGCAGCGCACGCGGTGCGACTGCAACCGGTGAGACTCTTACACCAACTTGGCAACTTGGAAGGCCCGGCTGAGCGGGATGCAAGGCTATTCAGTAGTTCAGTCAGTTAACAACATAGTGCGGACTTTGGAGAAGTGGCAAGGATGTGTTCAATGCCAACTGGAAGCTTGATTGTCGCGCGAGGACTAGTTGGGAGCATGTTGCGCTCGAATGCGTTAGTTGACTTTGTGTTGCATAGATTGCCATGTTGCGGTCAGCTCTCATGGTTTGACTGTCAGTGGGGGCTGTGTGTCCCAGACCATGCGACTGCAAGCAACCCATCAGATTTAGCTAGCGGGATCGCGTTTCTGCCTCCCAGGTGAATGCCGGTTCTTACTCATACAACTTACAACATGGAACTTCGTTTTGCGCCGCGCAAGATGGCCCAAGAAAGGGGGTTGGTTTGTGTTTCAAGCTGCCGCGCTTGCCCCGCCATCAGCTAAGGTATCATCTTCCACAGATTCCCTCGCAGAGGTCTTGAGATTCGCCTCCTGGCCAAGGAAGATGGCGGTTTGAGAGCCCAGCCCCAGTCACAACTGATGTCCAAAAACCCTGCAAGTTTGACTTGCGGGCAGTTTGTTCTTGTTTTGGTCGAATTTAGTTGCGTGGATGAGGTGTGAACAAGAGGTCAACGATTTCAAGAACGTTTCAAAAGCGTTTTGGCAAATGGCAGGTAAGAGGAACGTGATTTTGAATTGCAGCTGCGTCATTCGTGGTGCGGTTGCCGGGGAAGCAATTGCGTCAGGCGTGAGACCCGCTTTCGGCCCCGGTTCAAAACCGGGCTGGTGTCAACTGCTTGCGACAGCCCAAGGTGCCTCTTGGCCAGACAGCGGCCCGAGTGGTTTCTTCGAGAGCTGGGCGCAGGCTGCTGGGCATGCGCTTGGCAAAATGGGCCCTTCCATGGGAACATGGTGAAAGCTGGGGATGGCGTAGTTCCAACCGCCGGGCATAAAGGGGGATAGTGCCATCATGCCATTGTGCATCTGGCTTCCAGCCAGCTGGGAGAGCATTTTGAACCGAGGGTGCCAGCGTGCAGCAAGCCGACACCGAAAAGGTGGAGGACTTGGCGACAAGGAGCCGGGTTGGGGCTGACAGGGTCGCAGGACTGAGGAGGTTCTTTGTTAAAAGGCCTGTGCTGGACGTGATTCACAGGGGGCTTCCTTTCCATCAGCTAGTTTTGAGGGCTTTCTGCATAAATTTTCAGCTGCAAAAATGGAGCGAGTTTTCCGCTGTTCGATTTGGGGCAACCAACTGCTATTGCTGGGGATAGCTTGAGGTCTTTGGATATATGGCCACAGGTGAAGGGGTTTCGCTTATGCCCTGACGGAGCCTTATAGCGATCGAGACCCTTAGAAGCACGTTGCGAGATATGGCCAAAACTCTGGCAATTCTTCGTCAGTCCGTGAGGAAGAACAGACGAATGGACTTCCTTCAACATGAGCCGTCTCTGAGGGGACCGGCGTTCTTCCTTCCACTGGCTTTGCTAAGAGTGCTGAAAGACCCTTTGAATTTACCTGGTTAGCATGTTGGATGTTTCTGCACCGGTGGTTATTTTAGTTACACCATCAAATGCGGATGCTTACGAAATACGATGTTCACATGAATCAACACATGTCACATACGATGGTTGGCAATCAGAATGCCCTTTTGTATCATTGTTGGTTGTTTTGAATAACGTGGTTCCACCTGAGCTGGTCACAGGGCGTGCTTTCCAGTACTCGTCCTGGCTTGGGATGTCAAGAGCATTGCCAGATCCAACCATTCGAAATCTCATGTTAGTTCCTGACAAAGAGATGCACGCGATCCCAAATAGTTTGACCCCCTCTGTTTTTGGTGCCTGAGCCATCTGCGCCGAACCCAGTGTTGGGATTCGCAGTGGGGTTGACGGCTTCTGGCGAAAACGGGGGCGCGTGCTGAACGTCCACATCATGCAAATTCAATACGGCCAAATACGCACCGCGGACCTTGTAGTTCCCATTCCGACATGTTGGTCATGCAGCACTCGAAAAGGAATGCCGTGCATTATTCGGGGTTGGCGAGATCTCGTCATCTTAGAACAAGCTCAAACTTGCTCAAGAACTCGGGCGGGTGCGTACTTCCCCAAAACGTGGGTGTATCCCCAAAGCGTGGGGAAAGGCGTGGGTTCCAAAGCTTGGACGCTTGTGTTTTGGCTGCGTGGATCCCAAAACATGGACGCTTACCATTCGACCCCAAATAAAGTGACCATTTGGTATTTCCCAAAACGTGAGTGGATTCTCCAAAGCGTGGATGCTTGTCATTTGGCTGCGTGATCCCCCAAAGCGTCGGTGGATTCCCCAAAATATGGGTGCATTCCTCATTTCGCGGCGTGATCGCCGATGATATCAGAATATGCGGGTATACATTCATCGCTGCCTCCCGCGGCCCTTGCGTAAGCTGCTGGAAACTGTGACGAAGACTGTCTGCAACAGGTCAAATGTGTCACAAACGTCTCCGAAACCTCAACTGCAGCTCTAAAACACGGCCGTCCACGCGCCGCATTCCAACTACAGTACAAGGGCAGGGCCAAGTGTTCAAATTCTGCGCTGTGGATTTTCTGAAACACCGCCTTTCGTCGCAGCACTTCCGCAGGTTGCAGGAGGAGCTGACTCAGCAGTTGCACTGCAAGCCCAAGTTGGCCGCTTGGAGTTTGGAAAGGGGAAGGGACCGTCGAGTGGATTGCCGTTGGCTCAATCCATTACTCGGGGAGCTGGGGTGCACATATCTTTTTGGAAGTGAGGGGTTCATTTGTTTGTGATTTGGATCCTGCTATGAAAAGCTACTGTAGCATAGTGAGTGTGTCTGTGGGCGCGTCTCTGCATATGCGTCAGCTGGGTTCTGTCCCGCGCTCGTCATAGCATGGGCAGCGCAACACGAACCGTTTGCAGGCAGCCCCGTGTTGACACATCTCTTATGCGTCATATGAGTGGTGGCACAATTGTCACGGGGCGCGCATCAAAGCAGCTTGACAGGAAATTGGCCCTGATGTTCTGCCAAATCAGGTCTGAGTTTAAGCGTGCTTTGGGGAGTTGGCGGGGCTGCCACCCTCGGGGAGCCTTCAACAACTATATATTTAGAATATGCATATGGTTGATTTTGGCAGCACGGGATCTGCTTGATTGGCACTGTAAGGCTTCCTGAGTTGCCTACGTACAACCAGAAAGAGTGCAAGAAAGCTGTTGCCGTTTTTGTTTTCTTCTTTTTCTTTTTTTTTTCTGTGGGTTGCATGAATTGGATGGCCCAGACTGTGTGCTCGTTCCAAGGTCCTTTTAGCCTTGGAATGCCCAATCCTTGTCATCCCACAGGGGGGGTTCTGTTGGACCAAACTGCCCGGTACACAGCTCACAGAAGATTTCTGATGTTTCGTGTGTTTTGGCGACAGATTGGGGTTCCACCAGCACGGACCCTCAGCCAACGCATGATTTGGTCTTAAATGCAGCGCATAAATCAATATGTTATGTTTGCGCTCAGCTTCGATAGAAATGCTTCCTCACTTGCAGGCCATCCAATTGCCATAGCTGCGCGGACCTCAAACATCAAACTGACTGCGCAGTGCCGAGCGGGTGCGCTTGAGCTGATATGCCTATCATTTGGCAGGTCTGGACACACTGCTGAGCAGGTGCGCTTGAGCAGGTGTGCCTATCATTTGGCAGGCGTAGGCGCAGTGCTGCAGGTGGGATTGAGCAGGCATGCGTATCATTGTGCTGAGCAAGTGCGCTTGAGCGAGAGGCGTGGACATAGAGCAGGCTAGGAAAGGTGAAAAGCGTGACTTGCTCGTCTTCTTCTTGGGTTTTGAATGGTCACTTTTGGTGATGGTTTGCGCAAGCCCCATCATCCGTTGCGAATGGTTGGGGGGCAATCCAACTCCGAGCTAGGAAGCTTTTCGTCACATTGCTGTCATTTCAGGGTCTGCAAAGATGCCGCTTGAGATTTTATTTTTGATGATTTTTGGCCGTTTTACCTAAGTGGACAAGTGTTTGGTCGCTATGTCGACGTACAACTGGGGGGCGCAATGCGCAAACCACCCTTATCTTGAGTGGAGTTTCGTTATACGTGCAAGACATCAGGCTGGGGTGTTTTGTGGAACCACCGAGGTTGGCATAAAGAAACTCGGATGCATTGGCATGCCACCAGCCTTGCACAAGAGTTTATAGGTCATTCATGCGCACATTTGTTGATGCTGACCGACAACCTGTGCCTGACGTGGCCTTGCCCGGCATAAGGCCAGTGTTTTTCCTGACAGACACCCAAACAAAGGAAGGGCGGCAACTTGTTTGGTCATTGTTCAAAGCTCGCCTTTTAAACTTGTTGTTTTGTGCAAGAAGGATTTCAATGACACGGGTGTTGAAGGCAATGGTTGTTTCGTCGAATCACTGGCATTCTTCGAAAGCAGGCCATTCGAGGGATTGTTCTTATCTTCAAGCATGCCCCCCCACACACACGAACGGAGAGTTGATTCCCGTGGTTTGCTGTCCATGTCTTCCAACGCTGGATCTGGGATAATGCTTTGGCAGCAGCAATGCTCCCAGGCATACCAAGAAGAGCGAGGCGCTCCGCTGGTTTGCCCATAGGTGTCATTTGAGGCTCTATAGTTTGGTTGAAACCCGGGTGCTGATGTCACTTCGTCTCAGGTCATATGATATCGGTAAGATGTGCTTTTTCAATTCAACAGTACAGGGGCTTGCCAGGTGCTGATTCAACAGTTTGGAGTGACCGTGTTCTCTCTTCATTTTAAAATGCCTGAGCTCCCCCTCTCGTTTTCGTCTTGCCGAAGACAGAACAAGCAGTTGTTCTTTACTTGGGAAGCCGAGAGCAGTGTGAAGCCTTGGCCTTAGTCTTTTCCCAAGATCAAAGTTCAATCCCACCTTTCTGCCTCTTGGTTCTTGGTTGCCTCACAGTCCCGGTTTCCCATCAGATTGCTATCAGTGGCTGTTTGGTAGCTCAACTGAAGAACCTACGACCATAGTAAATCTGAAGCTGCAGCTACCGATCAGGGAAAAACAACAGGCATCGGCTTCAGATTCCTAGCTATGTTGACACACGGCTCATTAAAACAAATGTAGCCCCTTGTATGTGGATTTGAACTGGGTTGCCCATACGTGAATTTCTGTTTAGCATTTTCACGAGCATGCCCCAAGGATCTGTCACCGCCTCAGAAGCCCAGGCCCAGGGTAAAGGAAGCTTTGGCAAGCCTTTCTTGCTATGCTTTCCATACTCTAGTGGCACCGTTTTGCCCGTGGTCGAGCACAGCGCCCTCCCACTAGAGGGCCGGTTTCAAGGTCCCTTTGTGACGGGGAAAGTAATTAGTGTTTTAATGCTGGACTGGTCAACCCTCCCATTTGACTGAGAGGCAGTTTTTTGTTGCTTTCAGATTGACCATGCTTGGTGCAGTGATGGAGGCCTCGAAAGTATGGGTATATAAGCTCGAGCCATCACATGCAGTGTATCGAAGCCAGCTGGCCCATTTGGGGTATGCTGAAAGCGAAACATGGAACCGCCCACTGAGTCCACTGTGAGGGTTCCCCTCACTGAGCCAAGCGGCGCAAAAGCGGAAGGCCAAGATCTTCTTCGAGATCGAGGCGAAGGACTGGTGTGGAGGCTTGGGAGCTGGAAGGGGCACCTGGAGGGAAATGGCCTTGGTGCGCCTTTTGAGGTACCTAATTATTGTTTTGTTCTAAAGGGAAGCTGTTTGAGGGTATATATCATACATAATCTATATACATATATATATATATACATAATATATATATATATATATATCCATTTGGACTCATGCCCATGTCTGGCGTGAGAGGTCACGCTTGCTCCGGTTTCCTCGTCCGGCGCCGCCTGTCGAACGCCAGTCGATGACCGGTGCCAGCTTAGCAAGATGCAGGCGGGTCATGCCAGCGGCCGGCCGGACACATGGTTTTTACCGTGCCCTTGGACTTGTGCTATGGTTCTACAACCAAAAATCGACCTTATCAAGCTTGGATGGGAACGAATGTTTGTGTTTGAGCCTGTAGCGCCCGGCGGCTTCCTGCCAGCCCATCTTAGCCGGACGTAGGCTTCTTGCTTGCTGGATGCACCCAGATGGATGTTCGGCCCGTTAGTGGTCAACGGCGACCCCCGCAAAATTTCGCATTTTCGCTGGTGTGTTTTCTATTCAGGGACGTCTCCTTTTAGATTTCGTCAGCCAGCCAGTATCACGGCTAGTCTTTGGTGTCACCGAATCGCCCCGGAGAGACCTGTTGGAAACAAAGGGCGCTTCCCGTCAACTTCAAAAGGGTAGACCTTTTGCTTAGGGAACAGCAACCCGCATAGAGCTGTCAGGCCATCCGCATGCAGAAGATCCGGAGCGCTACGGCGCAGCTGCCGGACAACTTGGAAGTCTTGCAGAAGGCCTTCGTCGGCCTTCGATGTCTGCCGCATGCGACATGCGAAGACTCGCACGTCCGGATGGCCGTTGCGATGAACCACATCCCGTCTGCCTATGTTTGGCGAGCTCACCATGATGTAGGTCTTTTACTTAGGGATCGCGCATTTCAGGGATTGTTCTTGGGGTCCTCCTTCCCTACACCAAGCTAAGGCAATTGTTATGGCGTTTATTACAGAATTACTGTATATATTTATTGGAGTCATAGTAGAAGTGCAAATTTCCTGGCCAACGCATGAGTCGGGCTTCGCTAGACTTCCGAAAGTTCGAAATTCGACGCCTGCGATCGGATAGGCGGTGGCGGCGGTGAAATTCAAGAAGTCGGAGGAGCTGCGGGATGTCACCAACTTGAGCAAGTTCAAGTCATTGGGTTTGTTTGTGTGAGTGTGTTTGTTTCTAAGGGTGTGTTTTGTTGATTCCCTTTTTTGAGTTCCCATAGTACCCTTTGGAACCTTGACATGAATGGGTGTGTGTGTGTGTTTTCGAGGGTGCCCTTTGTGAGGCACGATTAAAGGAAATCCAACGGAAATTCACCGTTTAGGCCCCCCCCCAAACAATCTGACACATACCCATGGTTGTTCAAGCATCCTCACGCAGGTTTCCATTGAAAGAGATCCGCAGCGGGGTTCTCAAGTCAATTCGCTCAGTATCATCCCTACCAGGATGTGTTTGTTCATCAGGTGAAGGTCCTCCAGAAAAGCTGCGATCCGAGTGAGGCGCTGAAAGTCCTCTATGGGGTTAATGAGGTCCAAAAAAGCTAAAATGAGTTGCATTTCCCGTTTTGGACAGGTCACTCGTTGCAGTTTCATGATTCATGACAATACATGAAATTGAATAGGGTTCCCGCCTTTGTTTGAGAAGCCCCCGGCAAGTAGGATGTATTCACAGGGGACTATGGCGAAACCAAGCCACCAGAGATAATCTTGTGAAGCTCAACATGCAACACCCAACACTTTCAATAGCTTTCGTGAACCTCTATTCAGCATGTAGCGTGATGCCTTCATTTAACATTTAGAACAGTTCCCCTTTCAACTCGCACGTGAAGCCCAGACTGGGGCTTAGGAGCTGTGTATGGAAGGAGCATGCAATTACACGTGAATTGACACTACTGATGCAGTACAACAGCGGATTTTCGGATTTGCGAGCGCAGCGGACGGAATATTTGCTTTCATAGTTGAGTTCAGTGGCGGCACGGACTTTTTGATCCGAAACAGAGTAGACATGCCGAAAGCGCCCGAGCTGGCGCTCATGACACAGGGACTCTTCAGGCTTGCAGAAAGGGACGCTACAGGGGCGCCTATTTTACTGTGCTTTTGAAAATGGAACTTCAGACATGGCTTGAGAGGTTGTTTCGGGCCTTGCCAAACGTCTGATCATGTTCGCGAGGTGAAAAAAGGTAACAGCCCCATCTGTTGTTTGCTTCGCAGGAAGTCACGGCAGCTCAGCCGGATTAGAGTCGCACCGCTGTCGCTGATGGGTGGCTCAGTCTGGATTGCAGATTCGCCTCGTCCAAACCTTCAGCTTGTGAACAGTGAGGTGGCTAAAGCCTAGATGAGAGCTTGGATTTGTTTAAGACCTGACCCGGGTCGCTTTTGCCAATGTTCTTGGCTCTGACAGCTTATCCTGAAGGCCCTTTGCGCTTTCCGTTGATGGCCGTGTTGCCCTCCCCCCTCCGACGCCGCTTTTACCAATCACCTGGTTGTGGGTTTGGTGTCTTGGACCAAAGAGATGTCTGTCTAAAGTCCCAGCGGTGGACTTTTGCCCATGTCCATGTCCCTTTGGAGTAATCGAAATGCACCATTGCAAGGTGGACTCCGCAGGGTTGACATCCATGAGTTTTAAAGCTCCTTGTTTGTGCATGTCACACCCTCAATTATCCTTGATTGACAAAAGGGCATTTTTTGTACAATTGAACACCTTATCTCAGTGAGGATGCCTCCCCTGAGAGGCTGGCCTGTTGGAATGTACTTGCAGATCAGCACATTACATTCGTAAATCACTGGTTTGAGAATGTTTACCATGACTCCTGGGCCCTCCTTTGTGAAAAGCAGCAACTGTCAAGTGCCAAGATTGACGTGAACCCGGACAACTTCATCATCCCCAGCGAAATGATGTCGATGCTCCGACTGTCCTACGGCATCCTGGCAGCAGTTCAACACTCGTCCTGTAGGGTGTGTGATGGGTAAAAAAATGGAACCCTTGAGAAGCTTTTGGAGGATCCTGTAGGATCCAGGTTTGCCGCGTACCCGGGGTGTAGGGACAGGTTGTTGCTCCTGCTTGTGGAAAGTTGAGCCAGCACAGAACTTTAGAGGCTCCAGCTCAGTCCGCCGACATTGTCCTCTCGCTTTTCTCCTTGTTCCTCTCTCTCTTGTCTCCTCCCCCGTATGTTCCGCCGTCCTCTCTCCCTCCCTCTGCTCCCCATCCTCCCCATCCTCCCCAGCCTCTCTCTCCTCAATCTCCCTCTCTCTGTTTCTCTCTATCTCTCTCTCTCTCTCTCTGTCTCTTTCTCTTTCCCCTGTCTTCTTCCTGTCTGCGCCTCTCTACAGAAAAAAAGGGTACCCTTATTCTAACCTCTCTACTGGAGGACCTAGTCTCTCTGTCTCTCTCTCCCTTTTTCTCTTTTTTTTTTCTCTCTCTCTCTCTCTCTGTCTCTCTCTGTCTTTCTCTGTCTCTTTCTCTGACTCTGGCTCTGTCTCTGTCTCTCTCTCTCTCTCTCTTCCGGTCTCTCTCCGTCTCTCTCTCTCTGCATTGCAGCGTCATGTCCCCCCTGAGTTGCCTCGATGTCCGGGCACTCCCCTTCATGACCCTGAACTGTTTGCTTACTACTGGCTTTCCCCTTGAATTTCCCTTCATGTCCTTTTCACGTTTCCCATGATGTCCTGGTCATGGCCCTTCCATTCCTTTCAACTCCCCCTTCATGTCCCTGTCATTTCTCGGTATGTCCGCTTCATTTTCCATTTGTGTCCAGTTCTTTCGTTGCCAGTCATTTCCCTACATCTCCCGTCGTGTCGATTGGTTTCCTTGTCCTTTGTTTCCCTTTCATTCCCCCTGCACTCTGATTGTTTTCATTTCTGTCCCTTTCATGTCCCTTTCAGTTCCCCTTTGTTTCCCTTGCATTTTCCCTTGCTTGCCTGTCATGTCGACTTCCTATTTCCTCCCCTCATTTCCTTGCACTTCCTTGCATTTCCGTATTTTCCCGCCAAAAAAAGAAACACGGTTTTTCCAGCGTTGTCGCAAAAAGGATGTAACAAAACATGAGTTGTTCCAGATGTTCGGCAAAAGGAGGCAGGAAACCCAAACCAGCAAAGAGCCAGCCTGGGACCCCTGTTCTGTCATCAAATTGCCGCGCGGTACGTGGGGCACCCCCTGAGGCCCACTGCCAGGGTATTTTCTCCGCGAAGGGAACCGATACCTTGTGGTAGGAGAGGGTCTTTATGTGGTGGCCCTGCATGAATTCCGGAGAGCTCCAAGTGTCAATACAAACAGTGTGTTGTGGTTTATTCTGAAGGTGGTCCGCCAGCACCTTTGCATCACGGATGCTATGGCATGGCTCAGTGAGCTATGTACATCTGAGGTGTGACATGAAAGGCCCTGAGCCAAAATGGTAACGTGTTGCATGGAGATCAATGGGTCCAGAAAGCCATCACAAAACAGACACAAATTTCTTTTGATCTCCAGCACTGAATTACTATTGGCTTATTGGCCTTCGACCGTAGCCATTCAAGTGTGTGCCGTAGCCATGAATGTGTCAGTGATGAAATGTCTTTGTTGGCAAAAGGAAAAGAAAACTCTGTACTCATTGCGGATACCCAGTTTGTATCAAAAGATGATGCACAATACTATGTACACGCAGGATCATTGTGAAACTATTGGCCTCTCACAGAACAGTCTTGCTGATGGTGAGGATCAACTGGTCGTCATTCGTGGCGCTTTTCCCGTGTGAACTCTTATTCGAGCTTCTGAAAACCTTTCATCGCTTCCACGGATGGTTGCTGGTGTCCGATTGGCTGTAGGTCATAGTCGTACCAAGTCGAGGAACCATAGCTTTGCCATCCAGGTTGATCGTAGCCGCAATCTTGGTTGTACCATGAGCTTCCCCAAATGTTCTCCTTCTTGCCCTGGTTGTGCTCCTTAGCTCTCTGGGTGTCTTGTTCTTTGATCTCGGATCGGCTTCGAATGTAAACCATGAGCGGGCTGCGCATTCTGAAATATCTCATTGGTGATGTGTTTGAAGCGCTCGGCTGAGGTCACCTGGTAATCGGAAATGATTAGCGTGGTCTCGTCCTGCATTTTCTTCTTTTTCTTTTCGGTCATGGACTCATACTCAGATCTTCGAAAGCGATTTTGGATGTCGGTCTTTCCCCACCCAAATACAATCGTCATCATGCATCCAGAACCAGTCTTCATGTGAAGATGGTGACGCACGATTGCCTTCATCGTGCAGGGTGTGGCCGTTGCGTAATCCATTCTTTCTTCGATGGGCATTCCCTTTGTCGTGTTCCATGTGTCCTGGTATGTCTGCATGATGTGGTTGATCAATCCAAATTCCGGATGCTAGACCAACTGCAATCGGATCGGCTGTAAGTGTTGGCGGACTAGGTTGCATCGCCAGTGATTGCATCGCATTGGACATGGTCATGAGTGCCATGATTCCATTCTGGAAATGTTCTCTTGCTGCTCCATGGGTGATGTTCGGATGGATGTGGAAAACCCCAATGGTAGCATATGTCGTAATCCGTGTTCGGAGTCTCGGATGATCTTCGGAATTCGTTACTCTGGTCGATCTGGATCACGACAATTTCCTTGTTGTGCCCGTAGGTCTGGGTGGAAGTTCGTGGTGGCAGTTTCTCGCCGACAAAATCGTGGTGGCAGTTCCTCGCCGACAAAATGCTTGGAGGTTCTCCTTCTTGGACATACGAGGACCTGTCGTCGCCAGGCAGTCGAAGGTCGGCGTATCGTATTCCGGATCTATGCAGTTGATCTCCGTGCCAAAGAAACATCTAAACATTCCGAATGTGGTTCCCCAATTCTGTGATCTCGTTGGTATGTTGCCAAAAGTTCGACTCTGGCGTGCTTATTGCCACGGACAAAAATGCGATGGGTCTAGCAGACCATGACTTGATCACAATGCCCTGGTATCCTGAGATGATGAACAAGCGAATGAGCTCCTTGCATTTTTCGTCTTGAGGATCGAGAAATCGGCTTGATAGCCGGTGCATCCGAGAAGGAGTGATGAACGGAGGAAAGCATGATTGCGTGCCACATCTTCGGGTTGTAGCGTCGTACTGGGTGGATGAGATGCAAAGTTGTCTCAACTTCTTGCAACCGTTCCACATGTCTTGACATCGCCGGTCATTTGGATTCTGTCGAAGAATGCCGATTTCAGCGCGCGGAGGGTGCAAGACAATAAAACTTTTGGACTAGCGAACCAGGAGAGGCTGAACAAGCTTAAAGAAAGGCCTGCCTGGGCGTGCTTAAAATATAGTTTTTGGAGGCGAGTTAACTCAACGCACGGATCTGAAGAGGCTGATGCTGGCTGTGTAGAGCGCGCGGGTCATAAAGCTGCTGCGCCAAGCGGGAATTAGGCGCAGAGCTCTCTCCAACATTGCGGGCGCTCACAGGATTTTGACGACACGGCTGTGAAAAGGCTACTTAACAACTGCAGAAAGTGCGAGAACTGGGGGAAGAGGCGGGCCGAAAACCTGCCCCTGCGTGCGGATTTGGCCCAGCTGCCACGTGGCAGTTGCGACATCCTGTTGAGGAAAGCCATGCTCTGCCTGCGGGCAATCGAAGCAAACACATCACTAGCTACATGGCCGACAGTTGGTGCTGAGGCCAAGGCCGCGTAGGGCTTGTCTTCGATCTCCTAGCTGGCGAGCCGGCTTGAGCCAAACCGGATCGACCCCCCCAAGCCCAGAAACCTCCAAGGACCAAATCTCAACAACGAAAACAAAAAGGGGAGAGCCCAGAAACAAGGGAGTGGGAGAAACGGAGGGGCTCCTCCAGGTCTCCTCCTGCCTCCATCTTAAGACTCCTTTTTTTCAAGCAGCCTTGCCAGGACCACTTGGCCCCGGCCGAAGATGATGGCCTGCCGTGGTGGAACGAGGAGTCTTTTCGTTTCCCCAACTCATCTTTTGCCCCCCTTCTTGGTCGATCCAAGCTTGGCTCGATCCGGCTCGCCCATTTCGCACTAACTGTTGTAGCTAGCGACGTATTTGCTTTGATTCCTCGCAGACTGAGCTTGGCTTTTCCCAAGAAGATGCCACGACGGCCACGCCTTCACTTTACTCATGCGCGTTCCTTTTGTTAGTTTCCAGCAGCCTTGCCAGACCACAGCCTCGGCAACGGCCCGATCCAGGAGCGCCCTGGCCCTACGTGTTGGCGATCGCGGAAAACATCAAAAATGCATGTGGCTGCCAAGGCCATACCTGCGTGGGCCCGGCCATCCGACAGCACGACCCCGGGACAGGTTTTATTTTCTGTGTGCGCAAGGGGGATGTGTTCCACAAAATTGACTTGGCCCATGGTTGCAACTGTCCAGTTCTAAATTGACCAGAATTGTTCATTTTCCCAAAGAGAAACCAAAAGGGGATATCTACTCTGAGGCTCCCTATTTTTCAGGAACCGCTGTACGTTGGACCCCCTCAAAGATAGCGAGTTAAAGTGAATGAAAGGGACCAAAGATTCTGGCTGGCTCTTAGCAGAGAAATGCGGCTAAAGCGCGGCAAGGCGACAGCCACAGCTGACAGACCGCGGCAAAAGCCAAGGCGAAAGCTGCGGGCACGGAGTACGGTCGCCTCAAACGAGAGTGGCGCCAGCAGTACAAAGGGCCACGGTCAGGCTTCGAAGCCGCTTGGAGAGAGATCGACGTATGTCAGCAAGCTCTCCAGGCGATGCCGGCCCAGGAGCGCAAAAGCGCAAATTCGATGGCTACGTGCAGTGAGCTGCTCGGGCCATTCGGAATTATATCAGCATTTTCTGCTATCATTGTGATCGTTCATCACGATCAGATCGTGGAAGCAGTTTCCACATCACGCCGCAGCTATACGCGGCTCTAGCAGCGCACCTGGTCGCGATGGAGATCCTGGCTGTCGGCGCCCGAGCTCGATTACGAATGAGCTTACTTCGTTATAGGCCCGCCGCCCTAGGCCCCAGCATCACCTGCTGGTGCGCGAGATCCGTCACAGGATCTGGGAGGTGGTCAAGCCAGGGCGCGGCTCTAAGCGCGACCCAACCTAAAAGGAGACATTGCTCATATCCATGAGATATTTCTGTGTGGAGAGAACGCAGGCGCACAGACCCGGCATCACTAATTGCGCGCGTTGCGTGCGCTGCTGGTTGGGCTCAGGCTGAGCTTCGAGCCGCGCACGGAGGAGGTGGCCCGCCGTTGAGGCCGGCTTTTTTTCGATCTTGGGTGGGGGGGGGAGGTCGGGCTCCCAAACCAAAAAGGGCGCCGGAAAGAAAAGGGTTGGCGAAATTAACGGCGCGGGTCATCGCAAATTATTTTTTGGGGGTCTTTTAGTGAACAAGTAGGGAAGCCAACGTGAAAACCACAATCTGGGATTTTCCTTTCTCAGTACTCATCCCAGGAGACATCCAGCACAGGACAAGCATTAGTTAATGGCACTCCACGACGCAAAACGTTCGCAGCCACGGCACGGCAGAGAATTTGGAGGAGCAGTCCGCCAATCAGCAGATTGCGCCATCCACAGAGCCTACCTACGCCGTCCTTTTCCTTTTCTCTTTTTGAATCTGAAATTTCGCCCAGACACCTTCTTGCCATGAACGCATCATTCTCCTCCAACACCCAGAAAGTCTCTTCATCATTATTCGCCATGAATCCTTCAGCTCCATCTTCGTCTTCCACCCAGAAACCTTCTTCGCCTTCATACTCCCCTTGGTTCTAGGATGTAACACCTTCTTGTCTTCTCTGCATGCCGTTGAGGTACTGCCTGAGTACTTCTGGATTGTCTCAGCAGATCTGGAGGCGTGGCTCTGACACCGGCGGCTTGCTGATGCGCTGCCATTCTTCTTGCATTCGCATCTTGTACTGATGCTAGGATCTCTGGTGACTGTGCCGTGAACAGGCATCAAGTCCATGCAGGCTGCCTTCAATCTCATCAAGAGAATTTCAAATTTTGATGTGAATATGAGGAACTCGGTGTTCTGCCTTCTGTGATCGAAGAAACTGAGAAGTCTGTATGTATAAGTACACGTTCGTCGAGCTTTCAGTTCTTCAGTGTGTTCTTGAAATAGTTGACTCCTTCTTCAGGATCTTGCAAAAGGTCATGTTGTGAAGGTCACCCAATCATCTACGAGTTCTTCATGTCTAAACCAGCTGACTTTTCCGCCGTACGATGGCGCCTGTTTGGCGGTCATCGATAAGTTGAGCGTCTCTTCAGTGAAGCCATGGGACCGGCCTGCACTTGAATAGGCTTCCATGAAGCCTTCTCCATCGGATGACATCTTGTTTGGACCTCTTGCGGAAAACCATACTCCGCCACCCCAAGTTGAGGCCCACTGCCAGGGGTTTCTTATCCCCGAAGCAACCGACACTTTGTGGTAGTAGAGGATCCTTATGTGGTGGCCCTGGATCTATTCCGGAGAGTTCCAAGTGTCAATGCTGATGGACTGATACTGGATAAGCCTTGGTAAACAGTGTGTTGTGGTTTATCCTGAAAGTGGTCCGCCAGCACCTTTGTATCACGGATGCAATGGCTCAGTGAGCTATGTACATTTGAGGTGTGACATGAAAGGCCTTGAGCAAAAATGGTAAAGTGTTGCATGGAGATCAATGGGTCCAGAAAACAAACACCCCCCCGCCAAAAAAAAAACCTATCAAACGTCGGGCGGGGGGGGGTTAGGGGGGGGGGGGGTGATCCTCCATCCTCTCTTAAGTATCCAACACGCCTCCGCAACGTTGGTGGACGTGTTCTGCCGGCTAACAATAGAGGAGGTCCTCTTCAATTCAATTAATATCATGGTTGACACTCAACATGCAGTGACACTGCAGAAGCCTGGCTTGCAAAGACCATGCCTCAATCAAAGAGCAATCGCACCACCAAGCGAGCAATGTATCATAAGGGCGCTGGTTGTTTTCCCTGGCGTGTTTGCTTCGGAAACGCCAGACTCTTGTGCCTCACTTCTCTGCACCCCGCATGAATGGACAGAAGATTGCTTGAAGAGGTTAGAAGCGCCGCATTTTAAAGTTCCCGACTACGGCGCTCAACTCGTGCATCCCAATGTGCCAGCTACTTGCTATGGCTCTGGGTCAGCCATTTGCGCATCTCAGGCTATGATGATCAGCTCATCATACAATGTCCCCAGGGGCACTACTTTCAAGCGCGCCAGGCGGGCTGTCAGGGGATGCGTCTCACAGTGGGATCAAGTGGCTCATGCATTTCCTTCGTTACTGCAACTTTCCTTGTTTTGCGTACCCAGGTGCCTTGATGTTTTTCGGATTTGCCGACACCTTTAAAACAAGTCAGCTGCACACTAGTCGGCCCTGATTCCAACGTTAGCAAAGGGAACTGGTTTAACGAGTTGGATTTTTGTGGGGGAGGAGAAACACTGGGGCCTCCTGCCCCAGAAAGGTTCTTCGCACCCTTGTCAGAACCCCCTTCGAAGATAGTTTAAGAACCCTTCTTGGGGTGTGGGGGGGAGGAGGCAGGTTTTTCCCCTCAAAGGGTGCCAACATGCAATTGACGATTTGAAAGGGTCCTCAGTGTTCGCAAATATGAGCAGGCGAGCGGTTCGCCTTGGCATGCTCAACCATTCTCAGCGCAACCGCGGACTATTGAGAATCTTTCTGCTTTCGGTGCATGATCTGCACTGCATATGAGTGCAAATTCCTTTCAAGTACAAGAGAGATGGCTTAAACTACATCCTTCCCTTAGATGGACGACATATTCAAACCCTTGTGCCAATTGTAACCCCCGCGCTCCCAAAGCTCAATGTTGTTGAGCGCTTGGGAAGGATCCAGGCGCGTGGACGAAACAAATGAAACTCCCATCAGCTGACTTCGGGAACCACTTTGCGCAACATTGGACTTTAGGGGTCAGGGGGTGACAGTGTAAAGTTGTACAGGGATTTGATTATTTTGTCCATCTACTGTCTGGTGCTGTCATCTCTTCACACAAATTGTGCTTAGAGAATCTAGACGCCCGTCAACTGCACACTGTAAAGATTTCCACCTCATGAAGCAGTGCAGTGCGCAGTGCCCAGCTTTTCCCACGCAATGGTTTGACGTGAAAAGCAAGGCTGCGCACCACATGATCAGCGTTGCACTTCTGCCCTCCCTCCCAAGCCTCAACTTCTGTGCAATGTTTCAGCACCATCTCCCAGTGCCTTTCCCAATGCCTTTTCCAGTGCCTTTTCATGCCTTTTCCAATGCCTTTTCCAATCCTTTTTCAGTGCCTGTTCATGCCTTTTCCCGTGCCTTTTCCAGTGCCTTGTTAATTTTGCGTGGCCCTGCCAGCAGTTTCGACTTGCCAGCGTCAGCTCTACCTGTTGCAAAGTGTGTCGCAAAGTTCAGCATAGCAGGCGGTACCATAGATGGACGAAATACTCAAACCCTTGTGCCAAGTGTAACCCCCGCGCCCCCAAAGCTCAATGTTGTTGAGCGAATGGGAATGATCCAGGCAAGTGGACGAAACAAATCAAACCCCCATCAGCTGACTTAGGGAACCATGCGCAACATTGAGCTTTGGGGGTTAGGTGGTCACAGTGTAAAGTTACACAGGGGTTTGCGTATTTTTGCCATCTACTGTTGCACCCCTACAAACAGTTTACCCAAACACCTGTGTGCCCTTTTATATACAGAAAGGGACGCTATAGGGGCCCCTGTTTTACAGTGTTTCTGAAAACGCGGTGATTTCAGACATGTGACGCAAATTTATCAGAATTGAGGTTTGTTCCTTCATTTGATAACTCCATTTGTCTTGTTTGTCCTTATTAGATAACAAGAGCAGGTCAAAATTGTGCTTATCTTGGGGGGTCGCAAAGCCATGAGTTTGAAATGGGCGCAGTTTCGAGGGTTTCTGGAGATGGGAGGGGGGGGGGTCGGCCCAAACAAAAAACAACACATTTTTTTTTTACTTTCCCGGGACGACTTGGGGACAACTTTGGGGACGAGTTTGGGAATAGCTTGTACGCCAAGTCAAGAAGCTTGCACAGTGTCCTTTTTACTTGTCTTCGTTGTTTGTTTGCTGTCTGTCCAACTGAAAACAAAACAATCACCTCCACCTGGCCGCATAGCACGCTGGCTCGGCTTTCCGCCCATCGTTGCATCCAGTTTCACAATGTTTGCTAGTGCTCAGAAGTTGACTTGGAGGTGGGACCAAATAAATGAGAAAGAAGAGACGTGTTGAGCATGGGAAATTGTGACATCTAAGAATTTGACTTGGAGGTGGCCTCAAAACAACGACATGAGAAAGAAGAGAAGTGTTCAGCATGGGGAATTGTGACATGCAAAAAACATGAATTGGAGGTGGGCCCAACAGCAGAGACATGAGAACAAAGAGACGTCTTCAGCATGGGGAAGTGTCATCTAAGAAATTTGACTTGGAAGTGGGCCCAACAAAATGACATGAGAAAGACGGAGACACGTCGAACGTGTGGAACTATGCAATCTGAGAATTGACTTGGAGGTGGGACCACAAACAACATGAGAAAGAAGAGAAGTGTTCAACATGGAGAAGCATGACATGCCCACAAACAACATGATAAACAGAGAAGTGTTCGAAGTGGGGAAGTATGCCATCGAAAAATTGACTTGGAGGTGGGCCCAAAACAGCGACATGACAAGTGAAAAAGTGTTCAACATGGAGAAGCAGGACATTCAAGAATTTGACTTGATAACCACATGAGAAAGAAGAGAAGTCTTCAGCATAGGGAATTATGACATCTATGAATTTGACTTGGAGGTTGGCCCAAAACAATATGAGAAAGAAAATAAGTGTTCAGCATGGGGATCATGACATCTGAGAATTTGACTTGAAGGTGGGCCCAACACAATGGCATGACAAAGAAGAGAAGTGTTCAGCATGGGGAATGATGACATTCAATAAATTGACATGGAGGTGGGCCCAAAACAATGAATTGGCAATCACAACCTCCCCAAATACACAAACACTGGACTTGTAGACTTGTCCAAACATGGCCTCATAAGCTGTCTGCTTGATTGCCAAGTTCTGTCGCACATGGAAACGGTTATGTAGCCACGCCCAATGTCAAAAAGAAGAGAAGTGTTCAACATAGGGAATTGTGACATGTAAAAAAAAAAAAAACATGAATTGGAGGTGGGCCCAAAAGCAGAGACATGAGAACAAAGAGAAGTCTTTTGCATGGGGAAGTGTCATCTAAGAAATTTGACTTGGAGGTGGGCCAAAACAACGACATGAGAAAGAAGAGAAGTGTTCAGCATAGGGGATCATGACATCTGATCATTTGACTTGAAGGTGGGCCCAACACAGCGACATGACTAGTGAAAAGGTGTTCAACATGGAGAAGCAGGACATTCAAGAATTTGACTTGGAGGTGGGGCCAACATAACCACATGAGAAAGAAGAGAAGTCTTCAGCATAGGGAATTATGACATCTATGAATTTGACTTGGAGGTTGGCCCAAAACAATATGAGAAAGAAGATAAGTGTTCAGCATGGGGATCATGACATCTGAGAATTTGACTTGAAGGTGGGCCCAAAACAATGGCATGACAAAGAAGAGAAGTGTTCAGCATGGGGAATTATGGCATTCAATAAATTGACATGGAGGTGGGCCCAAAACAAAGAATTGAAAAAGAAGAGAAGTGTTCAGCATAGGGAATTATGACATCTAATAATTTGACGTGGAGGTGGGCCAAAACAAAGACATGAAAAAGAAGAGAAGCGTTCAGCATGCTAATTATGAAGTTTGACTTGGAGGTGGCCCCGAAACAACGACATGAGAAAGAAGAGACGTGTTTAGCATAGGGAATCATAAACTCTGAGCATTTGACTTGAAGGTGGCCCAATACAACGACATGCGAAAAATAGGAGAGAAGTGCTCAGCATGGGAAAAAAGCTAAAAACACAGCTGAAAACGCTGTAAAACCAGGGCCCACAGGGCGTCCCACTCTCTTTATATACGTAGTGAGCTTCATGTTCAATTGAGTATCGGTTCTTTGACTATGATTCTTCTTCGCGCAGGCCGGCGTATCCCAGCTTGCGGTCACGCTGCTCGGATAGGGGTGGCGATGTAGGGTGGGCATATCCCAGAATTGGGGGAATCCCTCCCAACCAAAAGCGGGTTCCCTGGCTGTGGTTTCCCTTTGTTCCCATGTTTGTTCGTTTCTGTTGGTTTCCGTGTCAGAACGTCCAAAGGGAGCCTTCGTTTTGAGACAAGTTTGGGTTGTTCAGCTTACGCTGGCATGTTAAGCCCGGGTAGACGCGGTTAAGCCCAGTCCCCGTTGGCCTTCAGAGCACATCACGCGGCGACCCGTTTGCCAGCGCGGAACGTTTGCAAACTCTGATATGTTAAACAGTTTGTTAAAGGGGTCTCAAAGTCAGAAACTAGGGTCATTTGCCCTTGAGCCTACCTGGGGTATCCGTTCGATCTTAAGCTAGAAGTGTCCCCGACTTCACAAGGGAAGTCCTTGTTTTCTGCAGGATTACAACAAACTGAAACCCCACTCCTGCCCCGCAAAGCTTGGTGATTTAAATAAAGCTGTTGTTGCAACTATCCTAGAGGTACGCTGCATTTGCTGGATGGACTCTTCTAACTATTCCACTAGCAAGGGAATAATGTTGCCGGACTTCAAGGCAGAAGCTTTTGTGAAGCCAGTCGGAGTCGGGGGTTTGACAACTGGGCAATCCTCTCTGCTGTTTTTTTTTGTTCAACCTCGGCAAAGGACCTTTTTGCCCAAGTCTCAATGCGATGACCTGCTGTTTTGTCCCATTGGCTGCTAGCTTGCTTGTTCTGACAACGCCTGTGTTCAAGAACGGTTTCCAGATCTCTTGCGAAGATCCTTCAGGTGTTGGTGTCCAATGAGAACAGCTCTTCTAGTACTGCAGGGGTCGTGGGATTTGGAGATTGGGCGCCAGTGCCGATTGCAGGTACTGCAACGTGTGCTTGGAGGACCTGAAGAATAAGACGCAGCTGCAAGATATGGGGGAGCCCAGCCTTTGTCAGATGCCCCTTGGCACACGGACTTTTTGCTGGACTTGTTTGATAGAAACACTCCGAGTTTTCGGAAAGCATCAAAACTGAAACGAGCCTTTCTTGTTGGCAAGACTGCTGAGAGTCTGAGAGGAGGTTGGACATCATTTAACCACAGGGACCGGCCGGATTTCTCGAGTTGTCCCGTGTTTGTGCGCATGTTTGCTGCTTTGGAATCGAAGACAATCGGAGCATTGTAAGCTGCAAGTGCCAAATGAAAGCAAGTCCTGCCATCCTGCCTGGCTTGAGGTGTGGCTACACGATTTGCAGCACCTGCTTGCTGAAGCGGGAGTGGATCAACTCGCTGTTCCCGCCCATGGGACGGGCATGGATGCGGCTCTTCATTGAAGGCTCAACGACGGTTTTGCTCAAGTTGATCGAAGGGATGATGTATGAATTTGAGGGAATATATATATATATATATATATATTCATAAACAAGCAGTGTAATGTAAACCAGTGGTTGGCGCCCTATTCGACTACTCTCCCATCGCTTGCCCTTTGTGTGAGTTATTCTATTTTCCACTGAAATGACCGAATCAACGAGGTGGTGCGCGTATCGAAGGGGGATATCTAGAGAGTCGGACCAACCTATGTCCCCATGAGCTCAATACAAAGCGTTCCTAGGGTCAGCCACAATACCGGGATTGGGATATCAGTTTGGTCCGACTTTGGTCTAAGTTTGGTCTCTTTGAAAACGGATTGGCATAGAGTTCGCCTTGCAAGCGTATGCGAAGCGGTGGTCGCCTAGGGTTGCAAATGACCCCCTTCGAGAAGCACCATGAATGCGATTGTCTGGCTGGCCACGTTTCTCAAGTGTCTATAATTGCACCAAAAGGGGCGGATCTCCACGTCTGTTCTACCTAAGCACATTCATGCCCGCACAGTTCTGAAAATCGTCCCTTCGAAGACTTGGGATCCTGCCCCACTCATACAGTTAGAAGAGAGATTGCGAAGGAGCAGTCTCTCTCGCTCTGGGAAGCATCACCTAGCAGATTCCATGTTTTTTTGTTTTTTTATGTTTGCTTTTAGGGGTAGTAGTTGTTTTTCAATTTGCTGAGACGGGGTGAAAAGTAGATGAACCATCTTCCTTGCATTTTGGAGGGAACGCAATATGGGACTCACACTCGCACAAAGCGATATCCGTTCAAAAGCAACAACTGGAACCCGAAAAGTCGAACCCACCGGATACCACCGCAGCATTAGTTCAATTGATTCGCTGGAGCTAGGGTCATATCATGGCCCGACTTTCTGGGTTCAAAGCTCCTGTTGACTTTTGCATCGGACATGCGGTTCTTCAAAGTGTTGCCAGCAGTCTTGGCTTACCCTGCAGCTATCTACTTGAAAGGTGCCCCGAACGATTCCAGCATGATACCCCGAAAGATACCGTCAGACCCTACGGGGAACCAGTTTTCTATGAGATTGCACGTGTTCCTTCCCCTCAAATGAGGAAGTAGCAAAAGACAATCAGCCACATGTCCTACACAGACCACCACGGTTCAGTGTAAGCCAACAGAGAAAGCCAAAATGATGTGACTTGGATGTACATGTAAGTGAGGGTGCAAGCGGCTTAGCAAGTGCAAGGTAGGATTGCGCAATCGAATTTCTAGCTGGAGCTGGAGCTGTACTTTGTGTGCCGCCGCAGTTGGACTGGGCAATTGCGATTTTTGAGCTGGAGATGCCAAGTGTACATAAGTGTACTATACTATCTTATTTTGCACTTTTCGATCCGCCTCTAGCAAACTTATTTTTGCTCACTGCTGTATTGAAGCAGGCTGGATAGGCCGAAGTGCACATTGTGTACTACACAGTCGTATGGCATCTTTGGTTTTCTGGGTAAGATGTCTAAACGTGCTTTGCGTACTATTGCTGTTTTGCATGACATGTTGCGCTTTTTCAGCTGTAGCTGGCACTCCGCGTACTACAGCTTGAGCTGAAGCTGCCAAAGTCTACTGTATTTCGCGTGCTGAAAAGTACTCGCACCAAAGTGTGTATACCGAGGAAGGCCAATGCGCTCAATTTACCAACCCCAACACCTCAGATGGCTGCGGCCTAGCGTTTGGCTCTTCCGTGTCAAGCGAAAGCAAGTAAACGGTTGCCTTGTGATATGCCTCGCTACAAGTGCTTATCGTGCAAACAATGATCATAATGCTAAAACCTTGAAAACGATAGCAGGCCCACTAAAATCAACGGAATTCAAAATCGCAGAAGCACTATTGTGGCATTCAGGAGCCGGAGCCCGCCCTTCTTCAAGCAAGTATACCTCTAAACCGCTTTGCGCAGGCCTGGAGAATCAAGGCCACGTCTTGGTCTTCGAGCGCTTCCAGCAGCTCTGGCTGGGCCGCTGGGCCCGCGATCGGCGATCTGGCGCCACCCGCCACCCCAGTGGTTGAGGACCCCCTTTGGACGATGCGTATCCAAACTCCAAGGTGGTGTTTCGAGCCACTGGCAAGCACAGTGTGCTTCTTGGGGCTGGGGATGAAACGCCAGCGTTTGCGCTTTCCGACTGGTCACTGACTTGCAGCTGTCTTGTGCCGGCGGGCACACATTCGGAGCAAGCCTATCTGGTGCAACTTGCACAGCCTCCCAATGCCGAGGACAGATCTTCCGGCACTGCCGCAAGCAGCCGCCTGGCACACTGCAACCAAACACGTACTGATGAGAATGAATATCCAATGGCTATCTATAGCAAAAGGGGCCCCTTCTCGGAAGAATTTAAGAGGAAACCAGCAGGTCCGGAAACACGTGGTCGACTCCAAGGGTTTGGTCAAGGCAAAGCTCTGGAAATCCTTTTAAGGGCATGTGTTCGATCGCGTAATGTGAAGGTTTTGCTGCACTAGCATGGCTTGAAGCACAAGACTGCTGTTGGAAAGCTGCTTTTCTGTCGGCTGGCATGCGGCAATCTGGCATTTGCGAGCTATTTGCTTTTGAGGGATCCCCATTTGGGAACCCCGCCGTGTGGGGATCACTTGGAACGGGAACAACTGTGCACTGCCCCGGGAGGTTGAGACCGAGAGTGCTCTCAAGGTGGCATGTCAAAGCCAGGAACCTATTTGCCTTCCAAGTTTCCGTAGTTTGACACATGCCCAAAACGCAGCTGTCGTCCTTTGTCCGTGCGATCGCCCAAGGCTGTTGACGAAAAGGCAGTTGCTGCTGATTGGGGGAAGGCACAGCGAAGTTGTGTCGGGCGCAGCATTTTTCGCGCCAAGCGTTGAGGAGCATTTCCCATAATATAGCAGTCTGCTCGGGATTCGTTGAAAGTGAAATCCACCAAACTGAGACGTGTGAGTCTGCATCTGATTTTGACGGATAGGGTTCCCTTTCGCAGGTAATTTGCGGTGCTGAAGCCCAATGGTCGCAGCCTTTGTTTGGGAGTCTTACATACCCAAAATGAAGATTCCCCACCTAGAAGCCAGAAATAAGTAGGCATTTGGAGGTGTCTACTCGGAGGCCCTTGTGACCATCGATTTTGGGGCATGCCCTTTCAGGCAAGCAAGGAGGACCGTACCGGAGACATTGAGTGCTGCATGTTGATGCACACCCCTGCACATGGGTCCTTCATTCGTCAACCTGACAGAGTTACACGAGCATGTGTGAAAACTGGGATCCCTCCGGTCCAGACTGTCGTCTTGCTGGTTGCCTTTTTGATGGGAACATAGTGATCCCTATTAACACACAGCCACATGGCTTCTGCTCAGCAGTCCTTTTGCACATGCGAAAACGCCGCAGTCGCATGACCGCGAAGCTGATGGGCCGCTGTGTGTGGTTGCGGGAGTGCGTGGACAGCCTGGCTAGGCGGTGCTTGGGAGAGCAGCCTGGCACGCATCAGGTCACTGTTATGCTTAGACTTCCCTAGAAGAAGCTTTCAGGGGGTCTAAACAAAGGCCGAGATACTCAAATACAGGCCAAAAGAAAATGATGTGAGTAGGGAGCACAGGACAACCGAATACAAGTTCCAGGCGATTGGTTGCGTGCGTGTGTTTTGCCGCAGGCCGGAGTATATGTTTGCATTGCATGTGGGGGGGGGTTGTGACGTTTGACAGTTTCCCGACCGGGTCTTAAACATATTCCTGCGACCAGGTTGATGTCCATTTCTGGCAGGAGCTCAAATGCTTATATTGTTCTACCAGCCGTTGGTTGATCCCCTCAGTCGAACCCATGCAAAGCTGCCAGGTGGTTCAATTCAAAGCAACGCTCTCAGTTCTCAGAGCTTCACTCCCTCTTGGTGATGTTGATGTCTCCTGGGTCAAAGTCGGTCATAGGGCACCCCCTCATGTGGATTGTATTCGAAAGAAATAAGGGGAGACCCATCATTTCGGTGCACGTTGTGGCACTTTCAGATCACCAGGCTGGATAGTCATCCATGAGAGGGATTTTTCAACAGTTGCTATCCGAACAGGAAGGCCCAACGTGGCTCCTATACATTTTTGACAACGCATGAGATGCACAGGCACCAGACTTCCCAATCCCTAATACTCTCTAGCCCCAAGACCCACATCCAAAGGCTTCCAGAAGCAATTATAGGAAGATCACACCTAATAAAGCAAAAACCTGTTCTTGAATCAGTGACTTCGCAAATGGCGACTCAGTGAAACCACTGACTGAGTTGGCTGAAGTTTGGGCAAGGAGGTTCTTGCTGGTCCAAAAAGGCGGCTCCAGTTTCGAAAACCACCTCCAAGTGGTTCAGAGAAAATGAGCAGATTTCCTCGACCTTAGAAGCCAATACCCAAGTCACCTCCAGGTAGTTCCAGAGGAAATGACCATGACTTTCGACCTTGCTAACTTGTTCAGTGGAATGCTGTTTGCATTTGTTGTGCGACTGAAAGTGGAACCAACCCAAAGAGACATGTGTCCATGTTCAATTGTTCGGGTTATTGATTGCAACTGTTCCCATGGGTCATATGTATATATAGTATATACAAGAATGGACACTTTCTGCTTCATAAACTAAGTATACCCTACCGATCTCTTCAAGCAACAAGTAACTGCGTTTGACCGTCCTTAAAAGCCACTGGGCTCGAGGCCCGAGTCAGAGCAACTGCTGAACTCGCGAGGCGCCTCGTCAATGTCTGTGTGTTTTAGGGGCGGCCCCTCTTCAGTGGGAGACCGTGGGAGAAGTCCCGATATAAAATAGGCTTCATTCAAACTGCCTCTCGGACCTGACTGGCCAATCCATGGGCCCAGTTGCTTGAGGGAAGGGTTCCATTAGGCACTTTGGTGAGGGGCCTGAAAAGATTGCGTCTTTGAAGGTTCGTATTCGAAATGGGTACCCTCGTCAGGCTGGGGAAGGGCCGGACAGTGGATCGTGTTTACTGCTAGCACGGCTATTGTGAGTTCTCATTGTGGCTAAGCCATCGGGAGCTAACCATCAGAGGCGTGAATTGGCACGGATACGAGCCAATAGTACCGCAGGGAGAACAGGGATGGTGGACTAGGAAAGTTTGGTTTCTTAATCCCCACGGCTTGTTCTCTGCTCATGAACGTTTCCGAGTTGATGGAGTCAATCCATTATAATTGGATCTACAGAGGTTACTCGTGGCTCGTGGTTGGGCCGCCAAAACAAGCATGCACCAGCAGCCACTAGTCTTGGGCCGCGGGTGCGGTGGGTGAAGAAGATGATTGGGTTTGCAGGAAAGCGTAGGTAAATACCGCAGGAACGTTCAAACCGAGAAAGTAAGCAAGGCAAGGCGCCCCCATGCTGCTTGAGAGGCTCAGATCACTGGTTTGCGTGCGGTTCTTGAAATGGAAAGCACTTGTTGGCAACCCAGCGATGCCATGCTGCGCCGCAACACGCCGGCACAGGGTGGCCTTGTCAGCCTCGGTCAAACTAGTTTGCCACCCACAAACACGGCCATGCCATGGGATCATCTTGGCTTCTTGGGTCGACGCGTGACCGCCCCACATTGGTCGAACTGCTCCTTAGAACCTCTGGCAACTGAAGCCCAAGGGCCGCCGTTGAGACACCTGCGCAAGATGGATTGGATCGATGAGTCTTACCTGCTGAATTGGCAAAGATACGTTTGGAGACCATTCTCCTCAGCAAGTCAGGCTTGGAAGGTCACAAGGGAGATCATTTGTTGTTTGGCACCGCAACTGAGTCCAGCAAAACCCTGACATGGTGGTGTGTCCAAGCACTTTGGGGACCCTTCCAAATGCTCAGTCCAAATCGAATCAACCGAATTTGGCTTTGTTTTGGTTTCAACAAGAGTTTGGAGGGTTCTCAATGCAATGTTGAAAGTGACACCCTGGGAGAACTGCAAACGCCTCCCTCTCCTGCAATGCGCCCTGTTTGAGGCGATTCCGTGGAGATGGTGGCTACCTGCCTCAATTCCGTCCAATTTGGTTGCGAGCTCTTTGAAGCCAAAAGGCACCCCACTCGATTGGGAGGTTCCTGCTTACATTACGCAGGCTCTGTTTGTAGGAGTCCGTAAATCGTTGCAGTTCACCTGGAATAATTGCTTGGTGATAGCTAAATCAACTGCCTGCACGCTTGGGTTGGGAATCTCAAAGTCAGGCACCAGTTTCGGTGGCTTCTAGCTCGACCCTCGCTTCCCGTGAAAACTGGCTCTGAAGCAGTGGAGCATTGCCCTGCGATTGCTTGGGGACCTTGCCAAGGGCAGCAAGTCTGCACCACACGGACACAACACGGACTGGCGGATGCAATCTGAACTGCGGAATATGGCCATGCTGCAAATGCATGTTCTTGAAGTGATGCCACTATTTCTGCCTAGAAGCCTCACAGAGTAAGTAGCTGTGAAACGTCATGCAGATGTTTGTGCGGTTACGCCGTTTGATGCAGGGCCGCTTCGAACCTCTGCATTTTCTCGACTAGGTACGCGTTCCCGGAGGGGCCATCCAAATGGTTGGTTCCACATTGATTCCTGCAAACAACCAACCCCAAAACAAGGTGCTCATCCCCTAGTGTCAGCGATGTGGCTCAGCCCAGGAGCAGGGAGGAAGCTCCAGCTCCACTGCCAGGAGCCGAGGGTGTGGGAGTGACCCTCTCTATGGAATTTGGTTCCACAATTGTGCAGAGGGTGAAGGGCCAAAACGGGTTAGACAACTTTTGGCCAGTCAGCTTGGAGCTGGAGCAGCGTTGGGGATGATCGATAGAACGATTTGTGTTCCAACCAAGTGGCACCAAGAAACGAGTGTCCTGTTTCCCCCGGAAGAAAACCATTGGGTCCTTCAAGCACCGAGTTTTCGCTTTTTGCTATGTTGCTTGCCTGTGAAGGCACAGCACGTCCATTTGTTCGTGCTTTTGGACCGCTGTCCGTTTGGCCCGGTTTGAGTCATGGTGCCAAAAGGTCGGCAATTGATTTTTGGGACGACATGGACACTGACACTTGCCACAAAATCACACGGAACTGAACCGGTCCCCAAACCGAGGGTTGTTTCAGAATGATGTGTGTTTGTTGAGTTCCATGTACATCTGCAGGAGTGAGCGGAAGGTCAAGCTTTTGCTCTTTGACTTTGACCTTACCTTGGCGGCGGTCCACGCCGCTCAGCGGATCGTTGGTCGGAAAGTACACCTGTCCAAGTTCAGGGGAACCCCAAAACAAGTTGGTGTGTTTCCTTGTTTTCCCCTTAATGGCCCAAACAGACTACCCTCAAAAAGGCACCTAAATAGCAAGCCACCTCAACAGATTCACGTCTTTCTTCTTGTCCAAACCTTAACCCTGACCGCTTAACATTTACGTAGGGTTTGTCACTATTGGTCCAATTGAAGTCACTACGCCACAAGGATATCCCTTTGTTTCCAGGTGCTTTGGACAAGTGCAGATGCAAAATGAGTTTCGTTGGCCTTGTGTTCCTTGCAAACCCACCGACTTGAGAACTGCCACGCCACTGCAGGTCTTTCACAACCTCACGGGTGGTGCTGACCAGGCGAGGAGAAGATAGAAGTTGTCTCCAAGCAGTGTGCAGGGCTTGGAAACAAACCCCAAAGCAGGTGATTGATGCATGGATGTGTGTTTTTGTTCATGGTGCTTGTGGCCGGAGGCAGCGCCTGTGCCCGAGACAAGGCAACCAGAACCCTGGTCGGGGTCAAAGTAGGGTTCCTGGCCAGAAGTCTGCCAGTTTGTTTCGGCTGGATTCCTTTGAACAGCCACGGAGGAAACCATGTCCAACTTTTGACACCAACTTGATGGGTTGAAGCCATCAAGTGAGCCATAGCAATCGAACGAGAACAGCTGGGTATTCAGCCAGCAACTCTGCGCTTTCCGATTGCAAGCAACTCAGGCACCGTTGAACCCAATGGGAATCCCTACAAGTCAACCAACCACAAACTGCGGGGATCTGGGGATTGTACTTGTTGCAGTCAGTACCGACTGGCTTCGTCCAAATAAGGCCTGGAGATGCCTTAGGGCTTCGGGGGCTTAGGGGGAGACACAAAATGTTTTCCCAGGGGTCTCAAAGCAAGGATTGCCATTCAACAGAGCAACATCGACCGAAAATAAGATCACTGATCGCCGATTTTGGCACTTGACCCTTTTTCGTTTTTCTATTTTGCCCAAAAGGGATGACGCTGCATTGGCAGACGCAATACACAACCCAGATGGGCCAACCTCCTGTTGCATGTTCAATCATTTGTTGCCTACCCAACCTCCTTTTGGTCCCTGAAAGGAAACCCAGATCCGGCTAGCCAGAAACGAGTTGCCGCCTCAAAATGGTCGCTTGCCTTTGCTTTCCTTTGAATCAACTGAAAACGGCATCCTCAAAAAACCATATGCATGACAACAGTCCTTGAAAATTCGTTGCACTGGTCCCAGTCTCGTGAGCAGGGCATCTGCGGCGCGCCCTTCGCCGCCACAGAGCGCGGGCAGCTGCGGAGGCTGTTCGAATTAGGCGGAACCGGGGTGACGGGTCCGAATGTAGCGAGACCCTCCCTGTGTCAAACTAGGGGAGCCTTTGGTGTGCCAGTCATAGCCTGAATTCGACTCAGCCGGCACTCTTGTTCGACTTCGAGCCGTTGGCACATCAACTCAATGATTCCTTTGCCCTGCCAAGCAAGTCTCATTCATGCAACCAACACTTCGTGTGAGGCAAACCAAGGCCAGCCTTTTCTACCTGAATGGCACAACACTCGGCAGCTGTTTCTAGACCTTCCATCACCTCAAATTTGACAAATGTCAAACTGATTTGGAACCTTTTTTGGCTTATGGCCCACGGCTTTCATGGCACGGGCCACGTTTGCTGGAGGCCCTGACTTCAGCTCAGAAGCCCTGGGCGGCAAAGAGCGGGTCGAGATGCTGATGACGTCTTTGCAGAAGCTGAAGGATCGGTCCTCCGAGCCATGCTCGTTCTGCGATGGAATCAGGTCAAGTGGGCCAAAGAAGGGGCAACATACGGCCAGATAAAATCGCATGGGACTACAGTCAGGCAGACCGAATGAGGCCAGACAAGGAAAGAAAGATCAAACTCGCCTGAAAAGGGCACGAAGAAGTTGGCAAGCTGTGACAGTAGGGGGAGGGAATGCATGGGCACTTCAAATTCAGCAACCCGGTCCACTCCGGGAAGGGTGCTAGCACAAGCAAGTGAAGGGTTGAGAGATGCTTGGTGTCCGAAGTAGACCAAAAAAGCGTGCAAGAAGGCCTTTCGTCCAGCTTGCACGGTGTTTGCGTTGGTTCAGACAATTGTCAGAGCATTCTCGATTGATCTTCGGTTTGGAACCTTTTCTCTTAGAAATGTCATGTTCCCCCTCCTGCTAGCAACCAGACCAACCTGTTTAAAGGGATCAAATAGGGGTCCCTGAATTCGCCTTTTTGCGAACCTCCCAAAGTGGCAGTTTCAGCGGAATCCCTCGGGTTTCAGAGATCTAGTTTCAGAGATCTAGGAGACACCACGAAGCCAGTTCCATAGGACCAAGACATCGAGATCATGATTTGCACCAAGGGCCTTGTCGGGACTTGCCGGAAGATCTTGCAGGACGGGCTTCCGCGTCTCGCGGGACCTTGAACAGGTGAGCCAACCTATATGGTTGGCAGAAAGCCCCATGTGAGCGATGTCGAGCAAAGGGTGTTGAATCAAGAACTTTGATTGACCAAATAATATATGCTTTAATAATCCTGATTAGTTTTATTATTGTTATTATTATTGTTTGCTTCTTTTTTTTAACGAGAAAGCGGGGCGTGGACAGGTTGTCAGAATCCATGTTTTCTCGGGCCGTGGTTTGGGTCGGCGAGGGTTAGCTTCCGATATTGATGGCAGGGTTGTCGTGGTGCATCATGCCGGACTCTGATTTTGGGCCAATGGTTCCATGCGACTCAGCTTGGCACTGCAAAGCGTGACCAGCAGCACTTTAGGACAAGCCTCTATCAGTTTAGTTATTCTCGCTCTAGTAAGTTTGTGCGGGGCCTGCATACATGTTTCCTCTAGGGAAGGAGGTCTAGTCCACACTGAGTACGGCAAGCGGATTGCTATTAGCTTTTACCAACGGACAGAGTTGCAAGGCTTCGTCAAGTGACACGCCCAATAGTTTGGAGGCCCTCAGGTTTCAATCCGCAGTTTCTGCCAGCCCAAATCATCTCAGGGTTACTCAGGATTGGCCCTTTGACCCCTCCGAAATGAAAGGACCTGCTTGTGGGTTTCTGCATAGAGTGCGTCCCTTGATTTGTCCAGATATGTCAAAGGGTGGCTATGCGTTTTTGTTGGGTATTTTTGCGGGGGTACATAGATTTAAAAGGGAACCAACAGGCAAACCACATTTTGTGTCCCCCTATTTTGACGACAAGTTTTTGGTGGGCAATCCGCCAGGACTGCGGCCTGCTGGTGTTTTTCTCGCCGCTGGGGCTGCATTCACATTTGGTAATGGTCTTCCAGGAGGTTTCTTTTGGGGTTCCATGATTGATATGAGGAGCATGGGAGGATGTTGGAGGGAAGATGGTCCTTGGTTCAAGTGTGTTTGCTTACCAATCGCCAGACTTTTTGTCCGCACACCGTTGAGGAAGATGGATTCGTTTGATGCTTGTAGGAGAAGATTAAGTTTATGGCTAGAGCAAGTTGGAATGGGGTGTGTGCACTGCAAAGCCAGTGATTCGGTCTGCCTCAGCTGCTACAATGCAAGCCTGGGGGTATGTACTCCCGCACGCAATGCCGAACAGCATGGTTGTCTTGCCTCGCAATCACTGTGCGTCGTTTGTGTTTCTGTGCTGGTGTGTTTGTGTCTCTGTGTGTGTGTTTGTGTTCTGTGTTTATGGGGCGAGTTGGCGGGCGGCGGGTGGGAAGGTGGGCGGGCGGGTGGGGGGGCTGAGGGGGCAAACGCTCAGAACGGGGTGCATGCGTGCTTGCGTGCGTGGGGTGTTTGCTGTTGTGTTTTGATAGTTTGGTTCTAATGTTTGTTTGATTGTTTGTTTGGGTTGCTTGGTTGTTGGTTGGTGGGTTGGGCGGTTGGGGGGTTGGGGGTTGGTCTGTTGGTGGGTTGTTGGGTTGGTGGTTGTTGTTTCTTTTGTTGTTCTGTTTTTCATTGTTATTTTTGTCCTTCCTTTCTTTTTTTCTTGCTTCCGTGCTTTCTTTCTTTGCTTCTTTTTGCGCTCTTTACTTGTCTGTTTGCTTGTTTTTCTTTGGTATGGGTGTGTATGTTGTTGCTATTGTTGGTGTGCCGCCAATTTTGCTATGCGCCCCAACTGACTGCAAGCAGTATCCTTTGAGCATTCCACTCCACGTCTTTGATCCTTTGTGCCGCTGATCTAAGGCACGTCTTCGGCAACCTCGGGGACTGCTACGGGTGCTTTCTGGACAGACTATGGAACCGTCGTCACGGGGCTGATGCTTCCAAGTCATTCCCCCTTGCCTGCACAGGGCATGAACCTCACCATTCTCATCACCATCATCATCTTGTTCACCATCACCATCATTATCACAATACAGCATCAGGGGTGGTGAATTCGGTAGGCCCCATGTCCACTTGGGTCCGAGCAAAGTTGCGAACTCGCCAGGACTACGATGTGCAGTCCTCCCAGGGACAGTGGACACCTCCACCCGCAGCTCGGCCCATCAATGGGGGATGTGGATTCTGGAACCACGCTTGGCCACGGAGCGTGGAGTGTGGGTCTTAAGGCGCCAAAACGAAAAATCAACACAAAGGCATGGCCCTGTCCTTTTTCAGGATTGCACGGCTTCCTCTAGCACCATCCAATGGGTTGCCCATTTGCTATTTGCGAGCTTTGGTTGTATCCCCTAACGCTCCATTGACGTGCTTGCCCCCAAAGTAATCAGTGGCTGGCAGAACCGTCGATCATAACCTCCATTCGCTGATAATGATGGACTCCCATACCGCGCCACTGATTGGTGGTGCTGTTGTTGGTGGCATTCATCTAGGCTTGGCAGTTTAACAGCTGTTGGCACATGCAATGACCGAGTTGTGCGCATCTTGCTTTCAGTAGAAAAAACTTTACAATGCATCCCTCTAGCGTTTGAGAGCCATTGAGACAGATCACCAGTCCCAACATCATGACAGCGCGAGCAGACCAGGGCACAGCTTTTGCGGAAGCCATGGACGTGTTGCGAGCTAGTGGCCCTTCGGCTTGATCAGGTTTCCCAGATACTGACTTTGCGCGGTTCGTGTGTGGTCAAAGGAGCCTAATGCGTTGTCACACTTCTTTCCGCGGGGACTTCAGGCCGAAGAAGTATTCTAAATGCATCAGTAGCTGAATGTTTGTGAGTCATGAAGCGTTCCGCCCAGGAAGCAGCAGCCCTGCCCGGCACCCAGGTGAAAGGGTGTGAGCTGGGCAAGGACCTGAGCCAAGTGATATCAAACCTCTTGGGGCGAGCGCCAAGTCCTGGTTTAGACGTCCCCAACTGGAGTGAAGCCTGTTGTAAGCCTTGGTACGCAGGTTAGCTCGGTTTAGACCGCTTGCATGCTGTGCCCCCCGTTTCCACAAGCCAAAAGAAGAACACAAGCTTCCAAGGTCACCAGGGATATGTGGGAACACCTAGAACTGGGCCTCGGTTTCGGCTTGTTTACACTTCGTAGCGGCCCCTGAAAGGGAGCCTGCAAAAGAGACGCAGGAGTGAGGGATGGAGAGTGGCAGGATGGCCGTATCTAAATGGGACTCCTGGCTGCAGTCGCAGGCTTCCCTGTGCAACTTATACTCAACATCGGGGCCCATCTTTGCGAGCTTTCGTGGATAGCGTGGATGGCGTTTGGCGGTGTCTTGCTTGTTGGATGTTCTTCATTTGGGGGTGAAATGTGCTGCACCTGGGGCCAGTTTCCTTCGCGGGTGTCAAGCAGAGTACTGCACTTAGATATTGTTGGAAATCCTCGCCAAAGATCGCAAAGATGCCCAAAGACAACAGACACAGCATTATCTACCCCCAAGTGCATATTGGACCCATCCTTGATTTCTTGACGTAAGACTTTGCGCTTCGATCAAGTGACTCTCAACGTGGAATACCGGCCTGTTTGAGCAGAATCGGCAAGCCCTTGAGCCACGGAAGGTCAAAGGCCTTTGTGGTGGTTGTCCAATTCGGGTTGAGGACACTCGGATGGGCCAACCCTCCATGTTCAACAGTGAAGCCAAGGCTCGGCACTGCAGATTGCAGCTTCACAGCGAGCAAAGGCCTTCTGAGACAAGCGCTGGAAGGGAGTTGCTCTCAATGTGGATCCCGGATTTGAGAAGAATCTACCGGATTCATGTGCAAGGCCTTGTTCCCCTTCAAAACATGTGTTGAACTTGTGTGGGCCCATGTGGCCTATTTGGGGACCTGCGTGCTAAAAGAAGCAACCATTGAAGGGCGCCTTGTTCCGGGGGTGGGAGAACGGAACTTCAACATTTCGAAGTACAGTAGTGGGTGATGAACAGCTGCTGAGCAATTGCAAGAATGCACTCACTACCACACGGCTGGCGTCAAACCGTTCGAGGTTTACATTGCCCGCGGAGCAACAGGGTTTTGCATCCCAAGCTGCACCTGCTGCCGGTCAACACTGGGGGGGGGGGGAGAATGTTGTGCTCAATACAGCTGCATTTGGTCACCTTGTTTGGATTCTCAAGAAGTGGCTCCCCCACAAGCAGTTCACAGCCGGTTCTTGATTTGCTATACAAGGGAATCGGGAATTCTACTCCGAATTTGTCAATAGCGAGTTTGTCCTCTTCAAAGATCATCCAAAAGTTCCAGCATCCTTCTAACTCGTCAAATCATTGCCGATGGTTTTGAGCAGTGCCATTGGTGATACAAGTTGATGATTCCCGGTGTTTTGGAGATGGGCCCATTGCTAGCACCCGCCGAAAACTGGCCTTTGCCACGGTTGCTCTGAGGCGGAGAAATCCACCTTTCTAAAATGCAGAGGATCCGGGCTTCACCGATTGTTTCAGGCAGGCATTTGTCAAGTGTTAATCACGGGGTTCAATAAAACCTGGGCTCCCAGTACAAGCGAACCGGTTTATGGCACTTTTTTGGGGGGGTGGCCAGGGTTTCTGCCAGGGGCGCTGATCAGTGACATCATGCAGCGGAAGGGGCGCGGCTCACTGGGTTTCACCTCTTGCATGTGCTTTGAAAAGGCCCTCAAGATTTTGGCAATCCAACTCTACTAATCAGGGTCGGATGCTCTCTCTCTCTCTCTCTCTCTCTTTCTCTCTCTGCTTATGTCTCTCTTTCTCTCTCGCCTTCTCGTTCCGTTCTCTCTCGTTCCCTCTCATCAATTCTCTCTCTCTCTCTCTGTCTGTGTCTCGTTCCTGCTTTTTGCGCCTCCGAATCGGTGTTTTCAGGCTGGTTCGGGATGGTCATTGCAATTCAGTGTGCTTGAGAACGTGTCACATGGCGGTGTATCTAAACGAGTTACATTGAAGATTAGGCCAGGCATGTGCAGCAGTCCTTCCATCAAACTTGCTTGTGTCAAGGGCCTGACCAGCCATGGCCCAAGTAATAGCAAGCACGGCTGTTCTTAAATACTCTTTTGGCATTTTCCAGCGGAACAGGAAATCGGCGCAGGCATCATGTTCCGAGGGCATGCAATTGTCTCTTGTCACATAAAATAGTCGCCCAAGTCTACCCTGGTCTGTGTGCAGGTTGCAACTTTGAATTTCACGTGAAGATGGATCCACGCTTCGAGGTTTAGTGGCAGTGCCTTGTTGTAGCACAAGCATGTTTGAAGGAGAATTGGGTTTTTCCTTTGGTTTCCCTTCAAAAGGCACTTTGGATGCCAATTAGCTCGAATCAAAAATCATTGCCCTTTCCAAGAAGCTACAAGAGTTCAGGCCCCACAACTCTACCCCAGGGGTGGTTGGCTTTCTTTCGGTGTCCCTCTGAGCATCATCCAGGGGAGGTGTCTTTTCTAGTTGAAGGCGCCAATACGTGTAAAAACCTTGGTTTTCGGGCAATTTTCTGTGATACCAATGGAGCCAGCCTTTTAGTGACCAATTTGTCATAGGAATGATAATCTAACTTTGGTATCACAGCAAAGGGCAACCGTAATCCACAACCATTATTTCAGTTGGGCCCAGCCAAGAAATCCGGGTGTCTTTTCAAACGAACACATTTTGCGTGTTCTCCTTTTCCTGTTGAACCTGGTTTCCTTGCGCTAGCTCAGCCGGCGTAGCCTAACCCAAGCTGCAGGCTGTCAATGGTGGAGGTGATCTTCGTGGACGACGACCCTCGGGAGCTGCAAAGTGCCACGCAGGTGTGCAGCACCTACCAGGTGAAGGCGGGGGGGGGGGGGGGCGGTGGGGTAGGAAGGGAAGGGGTTGTGGAAGGTAGCTGTTTTTTTGGGGGCAATTTTAAGGGAGAAAAGAGTCCCGGAATCCCTGGTAAGAGAGAAAGTAGTCATGGGGATGCCCCATGTTGGTTTGGGCTGGGCTTTTCTTTAAGGGTTCTCTTCCTCAAAGAGTGAAACCTGTTGGCTTCATAGGGTAGACAGGAGTAAGTGTCCATGCTCGAACGAATGTCCGTCTGGCAAGCATAGATGGGCCATTTTGGGGGGGTGATTTTTCTTCGTGGTTTCTTTGGGTGACCCTTCTGTTTACTGTGTTGTTTGACCACCCAAGCGAAGAATGACAAGGCCGACACGCCGTCCAGGAAACGACCGGCTTGAGTCAGCCCGACTTCGACCGCATATTTCAACTCCTGGCCTCTCGGCGTGAGACTCGAGACAAACTCTGGACCAGCAGGCAGTACGGGGTATGTGTCAAAACAGGGAGACTTTAAACATGGATGGTTGGTTTTGGCTTCCCTTTAAACCAACTTCAACAAAGGGAAGTCGCAAAACACACACCCAAATGTCAAACGCAAGGACACGTTGTGGCCAAAGTGTTAATTTGGGGAGAAAATTGCTAGGTTTGACACATCCCCCGCACGTGCATAAACTTGGGGTTTGCAGACACGAGGGCCCTATTGGTGGTGGGTCGCTTATGTTTCTGTCAAACTGACAGGGGGGGGGGGGGCAATTTTCAGAAGTCCCAACCCGGCAAGCTTTCATGTAAAGCCGTCGCTGGTTTCAAGCTCCGCTCCTGAGGAAGAGCTCCCACACACCATGAGGAAGGAGTCCTAGCGTGAAAAGGCACGCACCTGATCCCAGCTGCCAAGTGCCGATGTTTCCTTTTGAACCGAAATCACCCTGTGACTTTTTGGGGAAGGACTTTCCGCTAGCAACGATTTCAACGTGTTTTGAGTGAAAGACCCAGTCCTTGGGCGTTCTTGTTTTGCATGGCCACACTGGGCAACTAAGCAGCCACTGACTCAAAGGAGACGGGGAGCGCCCCACTGATGCGCCTCTTACAGGATTATCCACAAACTTGTGGAGTACGCGTGTACGGCTCTGACAAGAGCTTGCCAAAAGGGGTACCTACTGGCACAGTATTTCTCTGACTGCCTGTTCTCAGCTCTATCCCTTGAGTTGGACATACTTGGACCAGGTGTGTGGGCAGCATAAGAGCTACACGGCTACACGCCATGAAGCAAAGCAGAGTCCAAACAAGCATGGAAAGGGAAATAGTTTGACACCCTCCCATGTTTAAACCAAGGACAGCAGGCACTTGATGCCAGGCTCTCGAAAGAGACCCTCGGCTTTTGACATCTCACCGCTTGTGTACTGAAGCGTAGATGCAGGGCTTATGAACAGGGGAGCAGGACCCTTCAAGTGCGAGGACCCTGGAACGAGTGCCTCGCCTGATGCCAGACATCGATTTCCCATGATTTGTGTTGCCCTTTTCTTCTTTGGGATGACCCATCACTCCCACGGGAACTTGTGCGTGGTGCTAGTCATGTCAAGGGATTCTGGAGTCTTAAAGTCCGACTGTGTGCGTATTCCTCGCTTTGCTCTGTTTGCTTTTTCGTTGGCTTAGTTTGCATAGCTGCACTCCCACTTGCTCAGTTTGTTTGTGTCAAAGAAACCCAGAAAGGGCGCAGGTCTGAAGCAAGGGCCTTCCCGGGCAGTGACTTGTCTCGGATTTGCCTGCTTTCTCTTGAGTTCGAATGCACTGCAACACCCTAAGATGCTTGGACAGCATGTCATCAATGGATCAGCTGGGTAGCAGACAGTCTTTGGGTTATGTCGAGCAGGTAGCAGGCTCGCGAAGGGTGCGGCTTCCATTCATGGGGAACCCTTGCTTCATTCTGATTCATTCTGCATTCACTTTCACACGGATTTGAACATGATTGTCAGTTGGAACGCCTTTCAAGTGGCAAAAATCCCACAAACTTAGACAAGCCCAATGGGTGACTGCCGTGCCTCGTCCAGTGGTCCATTTTGCAGGTCCGGCGGTGTCTACGCGCACTAGCAAGCCATGTGAAGCCCCAGCGCTAGCATAGATACCTGCGTGCAAGCCATGCAGCGCAAGACTCAGGTAGCCGAAGGAAACTAGTTCTTTTGTCAGTTTTATTCTTCAAGACCCTCGCAGATTGAAAGCTGTTATGTGTGTATATATATATATACATAGCAGTTGCATTGTTTTTTGGGCCTCCTGAACAAGTGAATGCGCTGTATCAGTTGCGTTGAGACTCTGCGCCGCGTGCTCCGTCCCTGGAGTCACGGGTGCTTCCCAAAATGGGGAGCCCCACTTGTGGAGCGTTCTCCTTTTAAGACTTTTGAGACTACCTCGTTCAGCGGCCCCATATTTGTCCCTCGTTTAATCATCTAAGATGATGTTTTAGGGGGGAATGTAGGGAGCCCTGCTTTTGGAACACAAAGAGTACGGTTTAGGGTTTAGCGTACGGTTCCTGAAAGTGTGCATTTCCTCCTGGAGGTATGCTAAACTGGTCCCGCAAAAGGTAGGAACAGAACCCTAAGCTTTCTTTTGGTTACTGCTGTCAAAGGACAACGTTGGCGCATCCCGCATATCGCTTTAAAAAAGGATGCTTGCTGCGCGAGCGAGCGTTTCTCCTGAGACAAAGCTCGGCGGGTCATGCGGGGACAGGAGGCGAGGATTTGTGTGCGGTTGCTGTTTCCTTTTGACGGGGGCCATGTCCTTTACGGCTTTTCCAGATTCCTAGGTCAGGTGTGCATGCCTGTCACAGTCATCTTTCGGCTGAGGTTCTTGCAGATCGCCCGCAGGAAGGACGCCCGATCAGCTTCTCGGCTCATCTCAGCTTTGCGGAAGCTGCCTGCCGGATAGACGTAGGGACTCGACGCTGGCCTTTCGTGTTCCTGTCGCCCTTTTGTCAAGGGAAACCCGGGCAGACATACTGAGAATAAATTAGGAGCCCATACCAGTGGCCCAAGGCAGTCTTCTCTAAGTTGTGTCTCTTTCATTTCCGTTACCTTGAGATCCGGACACCAGGTGAAGATCAAGAAGAACGGCGCCCAGACCAAGTTCAAGATCAGGCAAGGCCCACTGGAGTCGAAGCAATGGCCACTTCAATCTAAAGGGACTGGCTTTGAATGAGCAAGCTATGGATAGTCTACACTCGGCTGCAAATGCCACTTGTCCCGGGAATTGTGCCTTCTTGTTTACACAGTCTTGGTGTACCAAGAGATGATAAGACGTTCCACACCACAGTGTTTTGTCTATCTCCCCGAAATGAGCTATTCCAAAATCGGTATATTGGAATGTGTGCAAAATTGTATGAGGATGACTGGAACTTTCAATGTTTGCCTCATGAGCAGGTCCCCATTCTGCAGACTTCGCAAGCCAACAGTAGTCTAACAGTTTTGGGGTGGGTACCCTGTTTCGGACGCCTTCCCCCCTTGTGCTTCTGTTGGTTCATGGCCGGATTCGGCATCGGCGTATCGCCAGTCTGACATCCTGGTGAGGTGCAGCAAGTACCTCTACACTCTGATCATGTCCGACAAGACCAAGGCACGGACTGCCGATCTTGGACCCCTCAGCCCCTCTAAGACGCTCTGACCCGGAACAATGACGCCAGGGCCGCCGAAAAGGCTATGTCTTGCACTCCCTCCCCCACATTTGCGACGTGATGCCAGACAAAACGACTTCTTTTGAAGCAGAGTTTACCTGTCATTGCGTGAGTGGGTCTCCCCTTCTGGAACCTGGTGATGGGCAGCATTCGAAACACACTAGTCGCGTCCAATGCAGCCCCAGGCTTTGTTGGGCTCCATTTTGGGACCCTGCGGGGGAGCCCTTGACAACAATACCACTTTCAAGGTGACCTTGAATCTTGCAGTGCGGTGAGCTCGTGATTCACTTCCCCGTTTGTTTCGTTGAGCTTTTTTCTCCAGGATGTCTCTCATTGTTTACCCCCGGACGGCTAAACAGCCAGTTACCCGACCGTTTTGAGCAGCCAGGAATGCCCGGAATGCCAAACGGTTTTCTATGGGGATCCCTCAAATAAAGAAGGCGTTAAAGGCTTTGCGCCTGACTTTCCTTGCGTCCTTTGGAGTGCATTCTTTGCTGAGCGCCCTCAAAATCGTGAAATGTTGCAACCTCATCCTAGCACCCATGAGTTAGAAGTTAGAACCCATTTAGGGTCACCCAAACAATGCCCAAGCAATCCCAGGAGTGATTTCTTTCCTCCCCAGCCGCCACGGATCCATTGGAAATTGAGGCCGAGAAGCTGAAGCAGTCCCTGCCGTCGGGGCCCCAGTGGGGGGGGGACCTTTCAGATTGCGAAGCCTTGGTTTTAGAGCATTTACATCAGCCCAGTGCTTCCAAGACGTTAGACGGAACGTTGGTGTTGAAACATGCAAGCATCAGGTGTAAGTATACTTGGCATGTATCTGAAGTATTCAAACTTATGCGATTTCATGTTTCGCATTTGGCCGGCACAGGGCGTGTTTGCTCGTGTGGTTTTGGTTGGAGCCAAACATGGGTTAGTTTGTTTGGCCATACCGTACCTCGTGGGTGCCAGTAGAGTATTTGTGGCTGGCAGTGGACCTGAAAGGTGAGCGTGTTGAATCGGGGAGTTTGTTAATCCGGTGTCAAGGTGAATCCTAGGCTTTTTTTACTCGACTAGTCGCATGGGCAGTTGTTGCTTTGTTTCTTTCCATGCTGCTCAAGAAAGCGCAGAAGCGGTCTTTTTAAATTGGAGGATCCTCATATTATAACCAAAACCGCTCAAAAAACGAAGGCATCTCTTTAAAACGTAGGATTCAGACATATTCTAATTGGCGCAATAATTTTGGCGGCGGCTCAGATGGTGCTATGCAAGAGTTTGGGTGTTTCTCCTAGGGCTTTTCAATTTGATTCCTAGGCATTCAACGGCAAAGCCGCCCTCCAAACGGCTCCGGATTATTTCGGGGAATACATTGTATACATGTTGACTCTACTCCAGTGCAAAAAGGATGGAGAAACTTTGGGCCTGCCTTTGGAGCAAGCCAGATGCAACTTTGGGCACCCAGGGGTTTGTCTCGTCCGTAGGTTGCCATTGCGCGTGTTGGACAAAGCCTATGGTACTTTGGCATGCTTGACCAGGAGCCATGGGTGTATTGGCTGGCCGACGGCAATCCATGCAGAATGGCCCGTCAAGAATGTTCAAGCAGTTTTGTTATGGCTTTGTGTTGTGAGCGGTTCTGAGTACAACCTGCACTTGGAATGTATCCTGAGCCGTCCGTTTAAGCAAAGCTACGTAGATGTCTTGAGGAGCACCATACCCTCAAATCTTCTGGAGGACCTAAGAGTCCGAGTTGTGGAAGAGTCGTCTTGGAGGGATTGCATGTTGAGTTTTCGGGCGTATCATGGCGTGGCTGGCAGGCGAGCCAAGGCAAACCTATGAGTGAAGGGACACCAGCCCTCAAGGTGTTCGATAAGGAACTCCCCTCAAGTGGGCCATATCCAGAAAGCCAAAACCTTTGGGAACTGGAGAAATGGAGGGTAGGCGCGGCAATGCATGCATACGTACATATAATACATACACATACACATATACATATTATATTATAATATGCATATATATATATATGTATATATTTGAAGCATGCGATTTTCGAATGCCTTGCGTATCGGGTAGGCTTCTTGGATGCCCGGGGTTTGGGTGACTCACATGTCAGAAGTGTTGTTCATTGGCGCCTTACCACCACCTTATGCACTGCCAAGTTGTTCATTGCCGCCACCTGTTTTCTTGTCTGTTTCAGTTGCACTTATATGTGTGGATCAT